AAAGTCCCAGCTGTGTTTGAAGTCACACTTTGTAGTCTAGACTAAAATGAGACAAACATTCACCTTGAGAGTATAGCACCATTTTCTAAAGCATTAACAATACATTCAAATCTGAGGCAATTCTTTATAATTCGAGGATTTGCCAGCATAAAGAATTCAGCACTGAACAAAAAGTATGTTTTGAGCGGTGAGTAGAGTCTATCTTAAATGCTTAAATTGGCCACTGCGTTCAAGGAATCAACATGTATGGTATGTATGTGATTGGCTACATTGCTCAATGCTGCAAACATGTTATACATAGAAAATCTGGCCAGTAAATCATTTCTATTTTGTTTTAGTTGTTCTTGAAGCTTTTCTGCAACAGATGAATACAAATCTATTACTTTTTATATGTGTTATATATGTTTTAAATATATATTTCTAGTTTGTGGGAGTCCTGCGAATCGTTTTAATCTCCCGCAAACCACACACACATGGCCCTCGCTCGGCCATCAAATCTAGTCCCGCGCCGCACTCTCAAGGGCCCGGCCTGACCCGAGGATAGTGACGGCAAATATCGGCCCGAGCCATGTTGTCGCTTGCTGTATGCTGTTTTGGTTTAAGTGTGTGCTATCATGTTGTTGTTGTTGCTTGCCATACTGCTGCTACGTGAGTGAAAGCCAAAAATGTGACATTACACAAAAACTCGATTTACCGCCCGCAACAAAATAATTAATTTAATCGATTTTTCGCCCAGGCCTACCGATAAGTCACATAAGTGGAAGAAACGTGTAAGGTAACACTTTATAATAACTACACGCTAATAATCATTAGTTAAGCATGAGTAAACCATTAATTCATCATTCATAAAGCATTAATAGACATTAATAAGCAGTTCATAAATACAGCTATAAATGCTTTCTTCTTGATTTAAAAGCATATCTATAATTTGTTTAATAATTGTATTTTCATCCTTTATTAATGATCAATTTATCATTTCTAAATGAAGAATTGCATTTTTTATAAACCAGTTATTTAAGAGTTGTCCGTGGTTCATACGATTACTTAGAGCGAGCAAGTAAATGATTAATAAACTATTTAAATGTACATTCATACATCTTATTATTCAGACATATAGTGATGGTTACTTAATGTGTTGATAAATGCTTTATTAACATGTATTAATGCTGTAATTAAGGGTTAATTTGGGTAGTTATAAAGCATTTAGTAGTGGTCAGTTAACTATTTTCCTGAGCTCATCTAAAGTGAGGACTGTATGCCTTGTAAAGCATTTTTAAAGGCTGTTAAATATTTCTATTTTCTGTATCACTGCGTTGTGTTTGTTACATTTTACTGTTTAGAAGATTGACGAGTCTTTAAATCGCCTTTATAAATGCTTTACAAAGCATGAATAGTCCTCACTTTAGATTAGCTCACAAAAATAGTTAACTAACCACTACTAAATGCTTTATAACTACCTGCATTTACTACATTTACTTACACTTTCTAAGTGAACTTATGAATGACTGACAACTCTTAAACAACTGGTTTTTAAATAATGTTATACTTCATTTAGAAATTATTAATTGATCATTAACAAAGTATGAAAATACAATCATTAAACGCATTATAGATATGCGTATAAATCAAGAAAAAAGCATGTATAGCTATATTTATAAACTGCATATTAATGTCTATTAATGTTTTATAAATGATGTATTAACTGTTTACTCATGCTTAACTAATGATTAATAGCGTGCAGTTATTATAAAGTGTTACCAAGTGTAATTTAAAAAAAGCTTAGCAAAGAAAAGCACCATTCACAGTTTCTAAAGAAAATGTACAAATCTAGGTATTATAAGCGTTCTTCAAAGCGTCCGTTGCATGTGAACAGCCAGAGTAACGGTGTTGTGTGTCCGCAGGGGAGGAAATCCATTCGCCACGGTAAAACTTCGGCCCACAATCACCAATGACAGATCAGCGCCCGCCATCTGATCGACACCGCAGCCTGGCCTTCATGCACCACAGTGAACACACACACGCATTCCCACAGGGCTCGCTGGACTCAGACTGAGACCCTCCGCTGAGGATGCTGGGATTCACAGTAACACACTTAAGCACACAGACACAACATACTGTTGAACCACTATTTATGCCTGTCCCCTTAAAACCTCTCTCTCTCTCTCTCTCTCTCCGTGTGTGTGAGGGAGAGAGAGAGAGATAATATATACTAGTTATCCATCTTGAATGTGTGTATATATAGAGAAGGAATCAATGTATATGCATTTCGCTGTAAGGATCACTAGTCAGAGTGTCATTCTGTAAATACGCGAGAGATTATTATGAGTGTGCGCTTAACTTTTTCAAATCATTGTCAAAAGTTTTTTATATAAATATATATGCTTGATGGGATCCTGCTTCAGCAGAAAGGTCCTGATGATAGTGATGTGAACCGAAATGCTGTTCTACTAATTTCAGGTGTTGTCTGAACGGGTCATTATTCTTTATTAATCCAATGATCCTGGTAACTAGACCTGATGGACCCGTGAGCGTGAAGTGAATGAGAGCGTTGTGAGCCCAGTGAAGGTCTGGCGTGTTTACCAGAGTCAGCTGGCGTTTTAAGGCACAGTCGAGTTTGACCCGGAAGACAACGCCACCATCTACAGGAGCGTTTTGAGCTGATTTTATCTGATTTCATCAATTGTTTTAGGTTGCTTTTAGTCACAGCAGTGAATAATGATCCTTTGTCGGTCAGTGGATAGTGATTTATTTATCTTCTGCTTTCGGGGGAAACTATTCGTTTGGCTTTGATTGTATCAATGCACTTGTTGGCCTGAGATCTTGTAGATCATTGCTGTATGAAAATAAAAAGGTTTTATTTCTAAAAGTGTGTTAGTGTTAAAATATGAGAAAGCGTTTCATTAACATTAGAAACACTGTGAATGATTGAGTACGAATCATTGAAAGTCTTGTCGATTAGTCACCCGGTGCATGTCATGCCGTACTCAACTAATCATGTGTGTTACGACTGGCATTCATATGCAACCAGTGGAAAACCCCGGATATAGACTGTGAAACGCATCGAACAAAAAAAAAAGTTTTTTTTTTCTGAAAATGATGTGAGGAAACCAAATTGCACCAGTTTTAAATTATACAAGAATATATGCTTGAAATTTCTTTACGCCACATGGAAAATTATGTTGAGTCAAATGTTGCTCCTTAAAGGGATAGTTCACGTTGAAATTAATTTTTGGTATGTTTTATCTTACCTCAAGGGCATCCAAGATGTAGGTGTCTTTGTTTCCGCAGTAGTTTCAATTTTGATATTTTTAGGTCAAACCGTTTTTGTCTGTCAGTCATATAATGGAGGTCTATGGTCACCACCTCAAAGAGCATGCACAGAGAAGTCCAGATTAAACATGATTTAATGACTCGCAAATGTAAGTACACATTGATGGCCTAAGACACGAAACGAGCGGTTTGTGTGAGAAAACGAACAGTATTTATAGCATTTTACCTCTTGTATCCACAGCCACGTCCAACTGATCTGAGGGCACGGGCGCTTCGGTCTGTGCAAGTGCTGGAGGTGATCTCTCGCGCAGTTGTGAAAGAAAAATCAACGTTGTCTGTTGATATATCGAAATCATCTTCCATTGTGATTTTTTGTATATCTGAATATGTTTAGATCTTCACAGTGAAGGATAACACTTCTGAAATCTCTGTGTAAACAATGAGTGACGTACACGCGCGAGAGATCACTTCAGGCGCTTGCGCAGACCGAAGAGCTTGGATCAGTTGGACGTGGCTGTGGTTACAAGAGGTAAAAACGATATAAATACTGTTGGTTTTCTCACACAAACCGCTCGTTTCGTGTCTTAGACCATCAATGTGTACTTACATTTACGAGTCATTAAATCATGTTTAATTTGGACTTCTCTGTGCATGCTCTTTGAGGTGGTGACCATAGACCTCCATTATATGACTGACAGACAAGAACGGTTTGACTTAAAAATGTCAAAATTGAAACTACTATGGAAACAAAGACGCCTACATCTTGGATGCCCTTGAGGTAAGATAAAACATACCAAAAATTAATTTCAAAGTGAACTATCCCTTTAAGAACTTGGTTTGTTGGTAATTGAGAAAGCCACGTGAGAGGAGGCAATCACTCCATCGCGCTATGATTGGATGTGATCGTTTATGATAGGATGTGATTGGTTCTTGATTTCGTGCGCATTCTCGAATCGACCTGAATGAAGACTGATTGACTGACTGAACTCCGTCATTAAAATATCACGTCAAGATCAAACTGGACCATCTTGATCACCGCTGAAAAAGTGTTTCAATTAAACAGTAGGTCACAAATAAATTTTTTTTTTTAGTTATTACTTTGGAATACATGTAAATATGTGTAAAAGTTTAATTCGAAATTTATACTTGTTTTTTTGGTAAGTTTTTATAACTTGGTCTCTCTTTTTATGTAGTGTTTATTTGACCATGAGAACGAACTGGGACTTGCTTAATAATGTGGAACAACCTCGTTCCCTTTTACCCCGAAGTCCCGGCAAACCTGTCCGACTGATACCAGTTATCTAAATAAAACACACAGTTTCTTTGAAAAGCTGAACTCTGAATGTTGATTGTCCTGAAAGCTGCTGTCGTCACAGGAACAGTGTGTGTAAATCGGAGAAACGGTACACAACATGAAGAAAGATGCATTTCTTTGACCAAAAACGGTAATATTTCCGAAACATCTCGTTGAAACCCATACTTTGTGGAAACCATGATACATTTTTTTTTAGGATTCTTGGAGGAATAAAACATTAATTTATTCAACAGCATTTATTTGAAATAGAAATCCTTTGTAAAAGTCACTTTTGATCAATAACATGAAATTGAATCTTCAAATCATGTGAATAATTACAATAACAAGTGAGTTTGATGAGGAAGTTTCGACAGATGAGGAAGTTGACATTTCAAAACAAAGGCCCGATAAAATCAACAGACAGAAGCAGCAACCCTTGGAGAATTTATATACAATCTTTTAATGTAAAAAAAGTTATAACCGATCATAACAGCGTGCCTAAGTGTATGCTATGAGTACATCATGAAAGAAGTCACACTGGACACGTCCGAGACTTGATTGTCGGTCAACTGGAAAGAAAAACCATTCGCATTGTCAAAGATTAACGTTACATTGTCCTGCTGCCAACTTCCCTTGTTTATTGCCAGGTTTCGCTTCAACTAGGATCTGGCTGTGAAACACAACTGCACATATAACATTGATCATCAGTGCAGTGCGGTGAAAACATGGCCCCCGAAACAAGACCCCGTCAGGAAAGAGAAAATGGTCTAAAACTGATTCAAGATATACAAATAAATCGAGCATAAAACAAGAGGATAAATGCGATGCTTTTTGACGCGATTGACACGATTAGTGATTGTATTATAAGTCAATGGTGATGGTTTTCTCAATACGCAAGAACAGATTAAACAAAAGAAATCAAGGGGAGCAGATCAATTTAATTTCTACACAGTTACTCAAAGTGAGTCGGCGTTTTGTCCAGTGAGTCCCGGCTCCATCAGTTCATGGTTTCTCTGCCGTCGGAAAGGCACTAGTGATTATATGACTGGAGACTGGCTTTAAGATTTCATATAAACAACAACAACAACAAAGAAAACATAAACAATAGTGCTTGCGAGGCGTGTATAAACTAAAAACATGGACGACCATCTCGAAGTAATCAAAAAGTATTGTGATCTGTCATTTATCATACTTGCGTTAAGCGACGTTTGGCGTTTTTCGTGTGCAATGATTACAGATAAACTTATGCTGATGCTAAAAACTGGATTAAAAAGACAGCGACGGGGGTGTTTGGTCCCTCTAGCCGAAGGTGGCTCCACAGTTTGGACATCTCCTCTGACGCAGGGCCAGGCAGAAGAGGATTCCCAGAGGAAAGAAGAAGATGGCACACATGATTCCCAGACACGTGAAGTCGTCCTCCAGCACGCCGACCCTGAACACAGAACAACCCCAAGGTCAGCACACACACATCACCAGACTAAATGCATGTTTGACATCTGCCAGTGCCTTAGAGAAGAATGCCCGCATGTAGGGTTGGGTATCGTTTGAATTTGAACGATTCTGATTCCGATTCCTTGTTTCGATTCCGGTTCCTAACGATTCTCGATTCCGATTCTTTTAAGAGGCAGGGTCAAAAAAGTTTAGCTAACCTTGCTAACCAACGGTCTTTCTGAAGGAAATACTCCTTCTGTCACAAATACTCCTTTTGTCACAAATTTTGCCGAGATTTCGTTATTTTTAGAAAAGTGAAGCCACACTTTGGATCGCCGACGTAAGCTACTCATGTTCGACTCGCGCGGTAATACCGACGCTTCTTCGTTGGTGTTGTTCAGCGGTTTCTTCTTCCGCTCGGCGGACTGTGAATATCGAAACTAGGAATCGAAATTTTAACTTTTGAACGATTCCGGGAAAAACGAAAAGTTAGTCCCGGTTCCAATCGATACTCGATTCTCGATACCCAACCCTACCCGCATGTACTCTTCATGTTAGAAATGCTTTGCATATTTGGTCCAATCTAGTTTGATATTTGATAAACAAATCAGCTGTAACAGCTAAAAATATGTCTCATAATTCTCGTACGCCCAAAGTCATTTCATTCTTTGTAATCATGTCACGATTCGATACATATCACGATACTGAACTCACGATACGATATTATGGTGATACTCCAAGACATATGGTGAAAGGTTAGCCCTAAAACCGTATTCTGGACAAATGTGGTCAAAATAGTTTTGATTTATTTAAAAAAAAAATACTTCCCTTGATCTGAGCGGTAAAAGACTTGGCTACTTCTCTTAAGTTTGCCTCCTGAACACACACAATTTTTTTGACTCAATTCTACAATGTTAAGTGGTTGAAAAAAACTCCTTAATCTTGTATTTGGGTCATGAATGGGAAAAACTAATTTATAGCATACTAAAATAAGCCAAAATAAGACACCAGGTGACCGAAAAGTCACTTCATCTTTAGATTTTAGCTCTAAGAACTTATTGGAATGATATTTTAATGTAGTTAAAAAATTAAAAAATAAAAATAAGCATAATTTACATAGAAAATATGTTACTTTTTGAAGTAAATAAATTCAAAAATACCCCCAACATAAAAAAAACACCATAAATTGATAGACAAAACTTTATTGAAGACAATGATATAACATTTATAATAAATAAAAATTAGGATCACACCGGAGTCCTCTGTGCCCACATTTGTCCACAATTACAGGATTAAGGGCTACAAAGTGAATACGGTTTGAGGGCTAAAAAAAAAAATGCTTAATTTGATATTACATTGTGGGTTTAAATGAATAGGCTTGGACTTGGTGCATGTAACTCAAGGACAATGGAGACACCAGAATAACAATATTCATAATTCTGAAGCTGAAAATACAGAATTATTGTAGATGAATATGCTTGCACGCTTTCACTGACTAGATATATTTAAAATAATGTCGGCCACTTTGCATTATCAGGACCCACAAATATTCCCCCAGTGCGTTATTATAATCAACATTATATATAGTAGTTTAATGTAGGCTAGTACTTACACTAAACCTAAAATCATTTTTATTTTGGGGAGACTGTCCACAATACATATTGTCACTATCCACGATACGTATTGTTTTATTTTTGACAATATATAATTGGATAATATAATTGGGCTGTAATTCTTCTTCTTGCGTATGGTGGTTATCTAGTGAACCTGTTGAGGGTTAGTTCGCCTAAAAATGAAAGTTTTGTCATCAAGTAAAACACAAATTTGTTCATCTTCAAAACACGAATGAAGATCTTTTATTAGATTTTTGTTTATCCGTTGAAAGTCAAACCAATCATAAAAGTAATACATATCAATCGAACAATAACACTTTTTTTTAACAAACGCTCAAACATGCTTGGTATTGTTAAAGTCCCCTTGTGGTCAATAATTGTATCCCTTAAAACTCATCTTTGATCACCAAAATTACGTTGTTTTTTTTTTCCTTGAATAAAAAAAAGATTCTTCATGGCTTAAAAATAGCTTGAATGTAAATCTAAACTCTTGCCTCATTTAGTATACGTGGTTCTATGAATATGCAAATGAGCCCCGCCTCCACTCACTCAGCTCAGAGATCCACTGGTTGACGATCACACGTTGACCTGATTGGTTACACGGTCGTTTGTGAAACGTTTGAGCTTCTGTTTACCATATTTGATGAGATCAATGTGTGTGTGTTGATCAATGTTTATATGTGAATAAAAGCGTAAATTGTATTAATTAATTTTAAAAAAACCCTGCAAATTAGTAACTTATCTGCGCAATTTGCCGTTTTAAATCAAAATGTCATTTTTGTGAATCCGAAGAAATTCCGAGTACAATAAACCTCACAAGACTCTTTATGAACATATTTTGAACCTTAAAATTTTATGCCGAGAGTGGACTTTAAATGGATGGAGAGAGAAATGATAAAAGTCTAAAGGTCTGTTCACCGTTTCGTCGCCCGCCGCTTTAAATGCTCGTGCTCTTTAAAGCAGGAAGGATTCTGATTGGCTGTCAATGTTTTTATCGTTCTGAAAGTGAATCCAACGATATTGTTCCCTGGTGTGAACTCTGCTATTCTTCTAGATTTACAACTATATCTTTATAGTCACCAACATGAGGGAGGAAATCATGACAATTTTCCTTTTAGGGGAAACTATCCCTCTGACCAACCAGAATATTAAAACATGTATCATGCTATCAAGAAGAAGCTTCAATTTCAGTCGCCATGCCTCTGTTATTTAGAAACACACGCATCAAACACCTTTAATTCTTACTCATAGACAGACAGATTTCTATATTATGTCTATATCTATAGATAGATGCCCTGTATATAGTAAAGTATGATTTAAATTTTAAAAGGAGGAAGGGAGCAACAATCACATTGTTTGTTTAGTGGTTAGTGCTCACACTCACTGAACTGGTGCATGAACCAAAGTTCAGTGTGAAATCAGCGCTGTCACGAGGTCACATGACTCTCTCTCAGTCAGATGAGCAAGCAGGAAATGCGTCTGGATTAAAACAACCTCAAAGAGGCCAATTTAAAGCCAGGATTAGGAGTGGAAAAGAGTTGCCACTTTACTATAAGGTTCATTAGTTCATGTATTAACTAACAACTAAACATGTGTTACAGTATTTGTTCATCTCTGTTAGTTAATGAAAACACAGCTGCTCGTTGTTTGTTCACAGTGCGTTAACTAATGCTGTCAAGATATTAATAAAGTATTAGTGAATGTTGAAATTAACATTAACAAACATTAATAAATGCTGTATAAGTGCAGTTCCTAATTAGTTCATGCTCACTAATGAACCTTATTGTAAAGTGTCACTGTCAACAACAAAAAAATTCCTGTTAACTTCTTTTTTTTAGTCATGGCATGACATAAGTGACATCAGACATGCACTGTCACATGCTCATATGAGCGGATGCAGAAACCACTGAATTCAGATGAACGCCATCTGGTTTATTTCACGTAAAGCTGAACTGACAAACACGATAGCATGACTTCTGATGTTGAGAGCTATGTGTGTGTGTGTGTGTACGCCTCACCTGCAGGCCGGACACCCCCCCACCACCACCACGGAGGGCTGGACGATGGTGTAGGTGCTGGTGTAGGCTGGCTGGGTGGCCACGGCCGCGGGCTGGCCCGGGATGCTCGGATACCCTGAGGTGGCGGCCGGGAAACCTGTGGGACAGAGTTCACATATCCATTAACACTCCGCATTTCTCACAGAAGAGATGTTTTATGAGCAAGCTGAGTACAGGAAGATACAGGTCACGTGATTGTAGTGAATGTGCACTTGTAGTGTCCTTCAAATATTACGGGTTTTTTTTGTTTTTGTTTTTACTTGCAGGTAAAAAAGATAACATTTACAAAAAGTGTATTTAATGTCAACTTTGTATTTTAACCCTCTGGTGCTCCTCTTTTTTAATGAAATTAATTTACTTTATTTTAGTTGGATTATGTTTTTTATGTAATATTTTTAGAGGATTTTATAGTCCTAAATTATATTTACGCTGTACTCTGAACATTTAATTTTCAACTCAAACTGTCGTAAATCTTGAATGCTTTAGACCAGAGCTTGATCTCTTTTCAAAGACGACGCTTGGCAGCTGAAGTGAAAAGATTTAAAAAGTGAACTTTACGAAGATTTTATACTTATTGTTATGTAAAATGCACAAAAGTACTAGATTCAGATTATTTGCATTTACTGGCATGTCAGCAATCAAACCTATTATTTTCATGGCAAAAATACAAATATATATATATCTATTAGAGCCAGACCGATAAAGGATTTTGAAGGCCGATACGATACAAATATTTGTTGGTTTTAAAATCCAATATTCCGATATATCGGCCGATATTATTATTAATTTCAGAAACGCACAACAAAATATTGACAGATTGCCCTAACATTAGTTATTTGTAGTTAGTTATGAGTTTTAACTAAAATAATATGATAAAGCATTTTAAAAAGAAACTTGATTCTATTGTCACAACAGAACAGAGGAACATCAAAATATATTAAATTTCTGATAAATAAAATAATAATTAGCCCTTAAATTGCCTTATAGTTATAAGCTGCATGATTAGTCCGTTTTTATTTTATTTTTTAAATATTAATTTATCGGCCATTATAACTGCCGATACCGATAGAAAAGAAAATGCCTAATATCGGCCGATAATATCGGCCTGCCGATATATTGGTCTGCCTCTAATATATAAATATATATATATATATATATATATATATATATATATATACACACACACACACACACACACACATATATATATATATATATATATATATATACATACACACACACAAGTCATATTATACAATATACTTTTTTAAATTAACATAAAAAAAAAAATCCAAAACCTTTTCAGGCATAATCTCATTAAATATGTCACAAAAGTATATTTTAAATTTTTATATGAACTGCAAGATAATCAAAGCCATGAATCCAAATTTGAGCTTAAGATCTCAAAAAATGAGCTTTCCGTCAGATCTGTTTGGCCTCCCGATAAGTGAAAAAAAACTAATGTCACACTAAAAAAGTGAGACTTTTTTTTTTTTTTTTCAAATAATTTCCATGATTTTTTTGTGTTCACATAGCGAGTGCCAAAACCTTAACCAAGTTTCATGCCATTCCGCTCAAGTAAAATATTCACACAATCTTTCAGTAAGAAACGACAGAAGAGCAACACAGGGTTAGAGAACATTTTTAAATCATTATGTTTTAGTAATCTTTTGTCATGCTTTAAAGAAGTGTTTTTATTTTGACATACTGTTCTTGTAAAGTGCTTGATTATGATTATAATAATTTTAGTGTGTTATTCAATACTACATTTAAAGTGAATAGGCAATGTTATAAATGTACTGAACTGGAGCTTCAATATTACAAATATATTTAAAAAAACAACACAAGTTTCAGTAGAAATGACAATATATTTAATTGATCATAAATGCTTGCCAGTGACTTTAAACATAAGTACTTGCTGTAAGTGGGTCAAAAAAGCACATTACGTTCAACTAACTGCGTTTAATATAAATAACATGCAAATCAAGTGTCCAAAAACATTACATTCAGTTCTTTATATAATTTCCATAATAAGAGGTAAGGACTACTTTTCCACAAGGGTGAAGGTTAACTAAACCGTTAACTAAACTAAGCAGCATCTGTGTATTTGGACTTCAAACTTATGAAACTACATAAGAAACTTGTGGCAGGCTGGTTTCATATCACAGTACTGAATGGTTTCCTTGTTCACACACCATGAGGTTTAGCTTGAGACCAGTCTTTCACAGAGTGTAGTCACGAAAATACATTAATATTAATAATAATAAAAAACATAAAATGTGACCTGGAGCCTGTTGCATAAACTGCTTAGTCAGGCATCTTTTCTTTAGATCTGGACATAACTAATAAATGTAATGCTAATTTAAGAATGAAAGGAGTGATTATCATAAGGCCGAATTAGTCAGACTAGAAAGTCCAGTCCAGTTTCCCAACTAGTGCGTTTTCCTTTTTTTGTTTTTGTTTCATATCTGTGACTGAATCACTCTGACTAACTTAACATAAACCAGAGCTGTGTTTTGTTGTACTAAGGCTCGTGACACTTAAATCAGTGTTATATAAGTAGTATTTTATAGAACGTAACGCCGTTCCATTCAGCAAATGTTGTACCATATTTTTATTTTGTTTGAATTTCGGTTATTTTTAATAGTTTATAGTTATCAGTTATTGGCTCGCCAGTCTGTGAAAAGTCATTAGAAAGTTGTGTAAAACACACTTATTGAAATGGTTTTAAATTCATTCCTGATTTTTAACTCAAAGTGATGATGTCATCAGTGATCTCATCAATTGTCAACTGACTGCTGCTGTACGTCAAACGTTGGGAAACATTACTATTAATGTTCTTGGTGTAAGTCTCTTCTGCTCATAAATCCTGCATTTATTTGATCAAAAATACCGCAAAAAAAATTGTGAAATGTTAACAATTTAAAATATAGGCTATTATACCAGTTACCAAAGTGTTCCTGTGATTCAGTGTCACATGACATGATCGTTCAGAAGTCATTTTAATATAATGATTTATTATCAATGTTGGAAACAGTTGTACTGCTTCGTTTTTTATGACCTGTGATATTTTTTTCAGGATTTATTGATGAATATATTTTTTTTTTTAAAGAACAGCGTTTATTTAAAATGGAAATCTTTTGTGACAATATACACAACCGGTCAAACGGTTGGAGTCAGTTTTTTCCCCCAGTTTTTTTTTTTAAAGAAATTAATATTTGTATTCAGCAAGTATGTTTTAAACTGCTAAAAAAAAAAGTGATAGTAAAGATTTATATTGTTACAAATATAAAAGATTTATATTTTGAATAAACGCTGTTCTCTTTAACTTTTAATTCATCAAAGAATCCTGAAAAAAATCTTGAAAAACAAATATTAAGCAGGGATCAAATCATCATATCTGAATGATTTCTGACGGATCATGTGACACTGAAGACTGGAGTTATGACGCCAAAGGAAAAAAAAAATCACCTTTAACGTTACATCACAGGAATAAACTTACATTATAAAAGTACATTAAATAGAAAAACAATTTAAAACTGAAATAATGTCACAATATTACTTTTTATTCTGTATTTCTAATCAAATAAATCCAGGCTTGATGAGCATTAGAGATTTCTTTCAAAACTCTGAAGCATATTAAACCACAACATCACACATACGTTTTAAAACCCCGCAGTCCGTGAATTATTGCAGGATTATGAACAGATTAAACGCAGTGTGTGTGTGTGGTTCTCTTGCCTTGGTAGGGCGGCGGAGCCTGAGGCTGGAAGCCCGTCGCAGGAGCAGCGGCCGCGGGGAACGAGCCGTAGTCGTACGCCGCCGGGACCGCGTTGTACGCCGGAGGTCTGTCCTGGAGAAGAGGTTTAGAATCCATATCCAGTCCGAGGCGTCCTGTCCACTTCAGAAAACTAGTTTAAAATCTCCTTGAGCTTGAACGGTCACTTGGACGAACGCAAACAAAAACCAAAACAAAGATTGGATGAAAGTTCCTCCACTCTTCCCCATGCGACTTTAACGCGCTCTATCAGCTTCGGGACAGGAATGGTTTGAAGACGGGCAAATGTCCTAAAGATGCGCCATAGCGACCTATTCTTGATTTCTCTCGTTTATGAGAGAAATCTGGGTTTGGTAACGAGTGAAACTCTTTATCAAACTCAAAAACGACGTTTTTCCTGCTGCACTGTCACAAGACTCGCTGTCACGTGATAATGCGGAACGCGCATGCGCGGTGGCGGGGGAGGGGGCGCGCCTTAAAGTTATATCCCTTTTACAGTCTATGGTTATATCATACACACTCACTTTTTTTACTCTTTACTTATATATTTCTATTTTTCTCGTTTATTGTTTTATTCCGTTTATTTATATTCTGGCATGTTTTCCCCTACTGTTCTAAGTTGTATCTACTAATTTTTGATACTTTTATATTGACTGAATAATATAATAAAAGTGCTCACTAAAAAGTGTGTCAGATAAAACAAAAAGGTTGCAGTGCTTTTATTTCTGTTTACAACCACACTGTAAAAATGATATGCTTTATCTAATCAATAAAATTGTGGCAACAGATTACAAGCAATATTATTTATTAAATTGAACAAATTAGAATTGAGTAATAGTTAATCAAATTAATATTCTAATTAATTCTAATTTGTACAATTTAATTAATAATATTGCTTGTAATATGTTGCCACAATTTTATTGATTAGATCAAGCATATTATTTTTTTCAGTGCATGTAAACATTACTAGACAAACGCTCTAGTCTTATTAACCTGATGAAAACTGTGTTATTGAACATGAGTGTTGTGATTTCCAATTTGTTAACAAATGTTCAACCCATATCTTTTCAATAAACCATTTTATCTGGTTTCCAAAATCCCGTTCTGAGTGAATATATAACCAGTTTTGCTCACTTGCTTGGACCGCACACTGTAAAAATGAATATTATCTAATCAATAAAATTGTGGCAACAGATTACAAGCAATATTATTAATTAAATTGAACAAATTGGAATTGAGTAATAATTAATCATTCCTTAAAAGTTAACCGTTTAAAATGAGTAAAGTTTACACCAAAACATTTAACAAAAATATCTGAATGACAGACAGACATCAAAGATTAATTATTTTATTTTTCTTTAGCCTATTTTATATTGCCAACATTGAAGACACTTGATGTTAACAAGCAGAATCACTGAAGGAGAAAACCGTAATTTAACAAAACAAACCTAAAACAAACACTGATCACCATAATGGTGGCTAACATACTTTTTTTTGTAAGTTTTACTCATTTTAAATGGTTAACTTTTAAGGAATTAATTTTATTAATTATTACTCAATTCTATTCTTAAATTTAATTAATAATATTGCTTGTAATCTGTTGCCACAATTTATTTATTTTTTTTTTGTTTTGTTTTTTATTAGATAAAGCGCATTCGTTTTTACAGTGCATATTTAACACTACATTTCGGAATTATCGTAAATATGAGTTGGAAATCAAAAGGACGTCTTCACAAGTCGTGTTTTAAAGGGCAAAACCAAAATAGGCTATGTGAGTAGTAAATTGATCAAATTAAATAAATGCATCTGTTTCTAGCCTATACACAGCTGTCAATATGTAACCGAGTGTTATGCATGAAATGCGTAATACTTTACAACTGTTGCTTCTTTTTAAAAAACAAACTGATCCACACACACAAACATACCAGAGAGCTATGTTGATTTTAACTCCTAATATCATCTGTGATGTGAGTTTGATGACAAAAGAGTCTCTGACACATCACTCAGTCTCAGTTACTTCATGTTATTAAAGAAAATAATGTTCACAGCGCACGTTGTTCCCAAATATGCTTTTATTTTATAATAAAGCTCCACAACACACAAGGTCGAAAAAGAAGGAAAAACAACAGTATTTCAAACACATTTTCAGTAGCCTTTTCGTCTTAAGTCATTTGTAAATCCATCTGTCTATGCATTACATCAGTCTGAAGTAACAGCTGAAGTATAAGAGAGTTAGTACTCGTGTATCACCCTTGAGTTTTTAATTATTGAGAGAGTAAAGAGTGAATAATTGATCGAGTAAACCTGCGCATAGATGAGAGCTCTGCGCGACGGAAAAACATACGTGCGCGCACAGCCTGTCCAATCAGAAGCCTGGATTTCGACATTTCCGTGAGCGCTGACCAATCAGAGCGAAAATACCCCTGACTTCCTGCTTTGGTTATCTGAGCCCTTAGAATAATGCTGGGAATAATAATAAACGGGTTGCTGGTGTTTGTAATGCTCGGAATAGATGAAGACTCGCTGCACACTCATTAGACTACACTGAGGGTGAGTTTATGAGCGGAATGTGAAATCCGTTGTGTGTCGGAATTTATATGCGTCGTATTGATTAGGCTATCATTAAACATCATAAATCATAAGGCAAAAGCAAGTGCATTAATGTTTTACATTTAATTAAATCAAGCTGAGAATAATGCGGCTGTAATATGAAATCCAGAGAGACAGGTGCGAGTTGACCACTGGTGTCCAGTAACAGTTACCTGGATCTCATACTAGACTTAATGTGTGTATTATTAGTTATTCTGTTAATGTATCTCTATTTGAGCAAAGCAAACTTTAAAATACAATTTGTGTAATTTTAATTGTGAACTTTTTGACCGTCTGTGGTTTTAATAACTAAACAACAAAGAGCTATTCATATTAAATATTATGTATAACTTAATTTTATATTAAATAAAGTATATATATTATACGATTGTTCAAAAGTTTGGAGTAATTAAGTTTTTTTTTAAAAAAAGAAATGAATTTATTCAGTAAAGACACATTCAATTGATTAAAAAGTGGCATTAAAGTATTTATAATAATCTCGAATAAATGCTGTTCTGTTTTGAACTTTCTATTCATCAAAGAATCCTGAAAGAAAGACAATATTTCTGGTTTCCACAGAAATATTGCACAGCACAACTGTTTTTAACACTGGTAATAATCATAAATGTTTCTTGAGAATCACATCATCATATCAGAATGATTTCTGAAGGATCATGTGACACTGAAGTCTGGAGTATTGATGCTGAAAATACAGATCTGATAAATTACATTTGATTTGAAAATATATTATATTATAAAACAGATAATTGAATTTTTGTTTCACAATATTATTGTGTATTTTTGTTCAAATATGCAGTCTTGGTGGGCAGAATAGACTTCTTTCAAAAAGATAATTCTTATTGACCACATACTTTTGAATGGTAGTAGCCTATATATTGGCAGTGAGCGATATAGTGGCAATATATAGTACTGTGCAAAAGTCTTAAATACTTCAGTATTTTGAACAAAAAAAAGTTTTATAGCCTATATTTAGCTCCGCTGTGGTGTGTCAGTGGAAATATCAGTTTACATTTCCATTTTGCCATTAATTGTAATAATCCAGTGATATTTTTCTAAGCACAACATTTTTTTTGTCATTTTTGACTACAGCCGGTATGATCTGATCTCAGCGTCATCGAGTCTGTCTGTGATTACATGAAGAAACTGAGACAGGCTGAACCCAAAACAACTCTTGAAGAAACCTTCCTGCAAAGCTACAACACTGTGAGAGAGTTTTAGGCTGTTGACTCCCTGTGCTTACAAAAACATCACTGGATTATTACAATTAATGGCAAAATTAACGTGACATTTCCTACTCACACACTACAGCAAAAGATAGACATAACTGCCTTAAAACCATTTAGTGTTTTGGTCAAAATGGTCAAAAGACTATGTTGCCGTGTTGTCTGTCTGTGGTCCAGCAGGGTCAGTGGTGTCTGCGGGCGGGGCCGATGATGTCGGGGTCGCTGCTGTGGGCGGTGGATGTATACGGGCGGGTGTTCAGTCTCCCGGCCGCTAGAGGGCGCTGGAGCCGCGCTGCTGATATAGTGCTGGAGCTGAAGCGTGTGACGGGCTCTCGTCAGTGCTGCTGGGGCATCGGCTGCGACCATCACGTCTATCTCCATGTGTATCCCAGTCACGTGCCTATACGCCACCAGGAAGAGACCTACGAAAACCAGGTGTGATCCGTTTCATTTTCTCACTCGGATTTTCAATTCAATTGCGATTTGGCATGATTAAATACTGTACATAGCAAGGTCCCATTTGTTAAAGTCGGCATGACATGGAAGTTGCGATATTATTTATTTCCCTACTGTGACGTAACTTACGGCTTCTCGAACAAGAACAAATGTAGGGCGGGGCTTGATTGTGTCCATGGGGATTTGATTGGATGGTTGTGATTTGATCTCATGTGAGTGACAGGTTGCCCCGCCCTCGAGATTACAAAGCACATGAATTGGGGAAAAAAAAGATGTGCACAGATAAATCATTTAGGTTACACTTTATTGTAAGGTGTTACTGTGTAATTCATGAGTAGTATTAATGAAACTCGAAAAATTTGAATATCGTGCAAAAGTGCATTTATTTCAGTAATTCAACTTAAAAGCTGAAACTACTATTATATAGACTCATTGCATGCAAAGTGAGATATTTGAAGGCTTTATTTGTTATAATTCTGATGATTATGGATTACAGATATGAAAACCTTTTCACAATGTTCAAATTGAAAATCAAAGTTATTACAAATAAAGGCTTGAAATGTCTTATTTTGCATTAAATGAGTCTGTATAATATATTAGTTTCACCTTTTAAGTTGAATTACTGAAATAAATGAACTTTTGCACGAAATTCAAATTTTTCAAGTTTCACATGAACTTACTACAGGGTTAGGGAATGTGGTTTGGTTTAGGGTTAGTTGGTATGATGTATGATTTGTAGTGATTAATAACTGTAAAATTATTGTAAATTTTACTGTAAAATCAAGTGTTACCATCATTTATAAATTCCTGCCGGTACAGGAATGTGAAACTTACTGAAAAAAACCCTGAACCCCCATCTGACATGACCGCTGCGGCTACATGCTGATGGGACATAACCACTGTTTAACTCCGAAAGAAAAAGAAAAAACTGAAAAAAACTTGAAGCCAAAATACGGCATGCAACAGCATTTTCTGTTTTGATCAACTAATTTTTGCTCCTCTCTGCACTTTACTGTTAAAAGACGTAAGTGTTAATAATTTGTAATATAGTCAGGAGCGACTTTCATGATTTTGTTGCTGTATTTTTACATCTATTCAAATGAAGGATTTTACAAAACATATTTATTTTATATGCTGGAATATGTAGAAATGTATATTAACAGAAGAAGGGCTGTCTTTATTTCATTAAAATGGTGGAATGTGCAGAAAATAGGTTTAAATGTTCAACAATTTTCTTCTAGTCTGAGACTGTTGCATTTCATTTAATTTTTGCTTGATGCAATTTGCATAAAGTTAAAATATTGAAAGAAATAAAACAAGTTTAAAAAAAAGAAAATGTTTAATTTGATTACATTTTAGATGATGGAATATGCAGAAAGAATAGAATTATGCTGAAAGGTCTATGATTTAGTGTATTCAGGTCGTGCATCATGTTTTTGAAAAGTAACTTAGTAAAGTAACTAATTACTTTTGAAAATAAGTAATCAGTAAAGTAATTGGATTACTTTCTTGGAGAAGTAATCAGTAATCAGTAACTAATTACTATTTCCAAGTAACTTGACCAACACTGCTGAAACGTCGGCCCTCTGAAAAGTATAATCATGTATATGTAGTTATACTAAAATATATTAGATTCATCTTTGAATTTCATTTATAATTCTAATTTCTTATATTAGAATATATATATATATATATGTAGGTTTCTGTAATGTTTTGCTACAAATGTCCTCTGACCTGCTAAGACTCTGTGTGTGTCCTCCAGAGGTGGAACCCAGTGGAGGGTTTCACAGACACACTCCTCCCGACGGACCGCTGGCAGTGGACGGATGAGTCCGGCTCCACCCCACAGCCTCTGCACAGCTTTGAGCTGCCGTCTGCTAACTGGGAGTGGGAGGGCGACTGGTACGTGGATGATGAAAGCTGTGGGAGGGAATCCACTGAGACTGGGGTGAGGAACTCAATCTCATAAACCCAAAACGTAACTTACTCCAGACTTAATGGGATAGTTCACTTTGAAATTATGTTTTGTTTTACCTCAAGGGCATCCAAGATGTAGGTGTCTTTGTTTCCACAGTATTTTCAATTTTGATATTTTTAGGTCAAACCGTTCTTGTCTGTCAGTCATATAATGGAGGTCTATGGTCACCACCTCAAAGAGCATGCACAGAGAAGTCCAGATTAAACATGATTTAATGACTCGTAAATGTAAGTACACATTGATGGCCTAAGACACGAAACGAGCGGTTTGTGTGAGAAAACCAACAGTATTTATATCGTTTTTACCTCGTGTAACCACAGTCATGTATAAGTGATCTGAAGGCACAGGTGCTTATATCTGCGCAATTGCCGGAAGTGATCTTTCGCGCAGAAAAATTGCAGAAAAAAATTCAACGTTGTCTGTTGATATATCGAAATCCTCTTCTATTGCGATTTCCTGTATATCTAAACATGTTTAGATCTTCACAGTGAAGGATAACACTTCCGAAATCTCTGTGTAAACTATGAGTGACGTACACATGCAAAAGATCACTACCGGCACTTGCACAGACCACAGATCAGTTGGACGTGGCTGTGGTTACACGAGGTAAAAACGATATAAATACTGTTGGTTTTCTCACACAAACCGCTCGTTTCGTGTCTTAGGCCATCAATGTGTACTTACATTTACGAGTCATTAAATCATGTTTAATCTGGACTTCTCTGTGCATGCTCTTTGAGGTGGTGACCATAGACCTCCATTATATGACTGACAGACAAGAACGGTTTGACCTAAAAATATTCAAAATTGAAACTATATCAAAAATTAATTTCAAAGTGAGCAATCCCTTTAACGTGCCGGCAGGGCTGGGAGTACGCGGTGGACTTCCCTGCAGCATTCAGCAAAGACAAGAAGTGGAATTCATGTGTCCGTCGCAGGCGATGGCTTCGCTACAGGAGATATAAAGCACTGGGATCGTGGGCCAAGGTAGAATCACCAGTGAAAAAAAGCTAAAAAGTGTAGTTATTTCAATGTTAAACACACATGTCGCATTGAGAAAGTGTGTTTTTGGCGCAGGTGCCTTTGGACCGGGGCAGGTCTCCACCCGAGCCCTTCGTGGACCTCAGCTGTGGAGGCTGGGACATGAGCGACGGCCCCGAGAAGCACATTCACCTGTGGGCCGTGTCCCAACAAGGGAAGGTTTGTACAGAGGATTAGGAAAAGTTATGTGCAGTGTTGTTGACTGCACAGAATATAATGCACATAACTATTATATACACTACCATTCAAGTATTTTTGGAAAGAAATTAATACTTTTATTAAGCAATGACACATTGATTTAATAACAAGTGACATTTGTAATGTTTCTGAAGATTTCTATTTCCAATAAATGCTGTTTTTTTTTTTTTTTTTTTTTACTTTCTCATGAACGAATCCTGGAAAAAATGACGCTTTCCATGGAAATAAGAAGCAACACAACTGTTTTTAACACTTATAATAATCAGAAATGTTTATTGAGCATCAAATATTCATAATAATGACATTTTGCAATATATCAACCTAAAAGATAAGCAGCTTGTTAATAGTAAGAACCGGAGGCTAAACTAAAGTGTTACCAAAACCTCTTTGAGCAGTGATGCTGTGGTTGCATTGCAGATTTCTGACCACTAGAGGCCGCTGCCGTCCTGTTGTGTGACTCAGTGTGTCCAAAGGCTGTTGCTTTAGTTGTGTTCATCTACTCTTATAGTATTAACACTGTTTAAGGTTTAGTCGTTTTGTTGTGCTTTTTGTGGTTTAATTGTTTTTTAAAATGTTTCTATTAAGCTTTAATTTATATAATAATCTTGCAAATTAATATATTTGTTCAGTTTTTTTTATTATTATTATAATTTTATTGCTGGAACTGAAACATTATTTCAGTTAGTTGCCATAGCAATATTTCTAATTTTAGTTTATTTTGTTTATGGTTTTCAACTTTTCATCTAATATTTGTATGTCGTTTTGTCTCGGCTTTATATCAATCAACAGAAACTTATTATACTATTTTGAGGGTACGTTTCCACGACAACGATATGCTTAAAGCTGATAAGTTTTTCCTTTGAGTTTTTTGCGTACAGACGACACCATTGTCAAAACGATCCCCATTCACACAGATCTGCGAAAACGTCTAAAAACGCTGTATTCTGCTGCCAGGCCACTAGATGGCGGTGAAACATTTTTAGACTGAACATTTAATGCACCAGTGCATGACGTCATCGTCTTCAGAAATTCACGTTTTTGTTGCTTACACGACACCGTTTTCTACTAAAAACCGAAGCCTTTGTCCATTCGTTTACAAGAAAACTTTTGAAAACGGGTTTCAAAGTGCAAGTTTTTGAAAACGTCTCCATGTAAACAATAAAAATGCGAATCTCCGAAGACGATGACGTCACAGACATGCGTATTACTTGTTCAGTCTATATGTTTCATCGCCATCTAGTGTCCTGGCAGCAGAATACAGCGTTTTTAGACGTTTTCGTGGATCCGTGTGAATGAGGATGGTTTTGACAATGGTGTCCTCTGTACATGGAAAGCTCAAAAGTAAAAACTTCTAATCTTTAAAGGTGCAATGTGTAAAAAATTCGAGTATCTTTTAACAGAAATACAATATGACTATCCATAACTATATGTTTTCAGTAGTGTATGAAGAACTTACTTAATAAACCCTAATGTTTTTATTACCTTAGAATGAGGCATTTATATCTACATAACCGCAAGCTCCCCCTCTATGAAGGTTGACATATTGTGACGCCATGTTTCTACCGTAGCCGAACGCGAACACACAACGCCACAGAGCGCGTTTAGTTTATACCTTGAAAGAGAACACTTTTAGAAGAAAGGTTCTATATAGAACCATAAAAGGTTCTATCAGCGCTACCTATTTGGAACCCCTAAAATGTTCTATACACTCTTAAAAAAGGGTTCCTCTGGGTTCTATATAGAACCCTGGGGTTCCATACTTGGCCAATAGAATCTTTTACCAAAAATCTAGAACCATTTTGCAGTTCCATATATGAAGCGGGGGATGGAACCATTTCTGGTTCTAAATAGAACCATTTCTTAAGTAGCAGAAAGCTGGAAGCTAGCCATAGCGCTAGCTGATTAGTACTCTTGTCATTGACCGTAAAACAGTAACGTTACAGGAATCACCAAGCCGATCTTGGAAGCATTTTAAGTCGATCGCGAAGAATTTTCAAAATCAGACAAAATGGTGTCTATGAGATGCGGAGGTGCGTGCGCTGTTACAATCGCTAAAAATCACACACTGCACATTTAAGCGTACCATTGTCACGTAAACGTACCCTTTGAAACCCGTTTTCAAAAGTTTGCGTTCTCAGCGTTCTCTAATGTCCAAAACGCATAAAAAGTGTTACATTTTTAGTTGAAACCGGTGTGGTGTAAACAGCCCCTCAGTTCACCTGTTTGCAGTTGCAGGGCGGTTTTGTGACCACTAGAGCTCACTGCTGTTCTGGGACCTGCTCTTTATATGTTGAGCTCAGCCAACACCTCCTTACCTTATGGATTAGCCACTTGCTCACAGGAATCTGAACAATTTCCCAGCCTAGTGGTTAATTTAAACACTCGCTGAATGTTTTGTCATGTTTATGATGTGTTAAAATTCTATTCCTGCCACCACACAGATCTCAGGTGTGTGTGTGTGTGTGTGTCTACACAGCTGTGGTCCCGCACAGGCATCAGCCAGCAGAACCCGGAGGGGACACGATGGGAGCCCGTCCAGGTTCCCCGAGAGGTGGCACAGGTCAGCGCCGGCCCGAAAGACCTGCTCTGGGTCGTTCTCTGGGACGGACAAATACTGGCCAGGACGGGCATCAGTAAAGACTGCCCTAAAGGTTTGACACTGACACATTTATTCCTGTCCTTTGAATTCCCTCACACACACACACACACACACACACAGAAAGAATGCAGAACATACAGTACATGTTTCGAATGACTTCTATTCACGGTCCAACTGTGATCATGGTCACGGTCATGTCTATAGCACGTGTGACACTCGAGCCACACTTAAAAATGTCCAGATGTCATTGCAGGCAAACATGTGAATCTCTTTTCTCTTCACTAACGTCTCACTTGTTTGCATTATTTTTGCTCATCGTCTTTGAATCAGCTGATGATTTTTAGTGCACGTTTGAAGTCAGTCTTGAAGTTCACACACAATTACTATCAACATGATGCAAAAGTCTCAGTACATTTTGTCTTTGTTTTGTAGTGTATCTATTTGTTTTATCATTTCAAACCTACGTAGTATGTGTGTCTTAATAGTCCAGACTCAATAGTACTACATGGTGAAAAAGAAGTGTGCTTAATTGTATTGAACGTGCACTTGCAGATAATAATATAATAGTAGTGAAATAAAAGGCCACTTAAGTGTACTTAAAGAGATACGTTTCTTAACACCAGTGTTGGGTGTAACTAATTACTAAATAATTAGTTACTGTAATTTAATTACTTTTCCCTTGAAAATGTGAAGTAAGGGATTACTCTTAATTTATCTGTAATGTAATTACAGTTACTTCTGATGTAATTACGATCTCACAGCGATTCGCATGCATTTTATGAGGTGTCTAAATATTACGACCGCACTCGTACAAATTCGTATGAATTATTGTAAAATATGCATGAAAAAAGTGTGAAATGTCATGAGATCAGACATAAAACAATAGTGGGTTTAACATCAAAATATGCTGTCTGATACTAAAAGGTATGTTTTTATAATGTAACCTTCTCCACCTTGGTCTGTTTAAGGATAATTCATGCAATTTTATAGTATGTATTTGAAAGAATTAAAACAGATTCATGTCTATTCTTGTATTATTCAGCTGGTTGAGATTGATATGGGATTTTGAAAGTAATTAGTAATTAAAAGTAATTAAACTCTTTTTAAAGAGAGTAATTTGTACAGTAATCTAATTACACTGTTGAAGAGGTAATTTGTAACTAGTAATTAATTACTTTTTTAGAGTAACTTACCCAACACTGCTTAACACACTTAAAGGGTTAGTTCACCCAAAAATGAAAATTAAGTCATTAATTACTCACCCCCATGCTGTACCAACCCCGTAAGACCTTCGTTCGTCTTCGGAACACAAATGAAGATATTTTTGATTAAATTTGAGAGCTGTATAACTACCACATTGGCTCATAAGGGACTGCCTCTTTTCGGCCCAGAAAGTCAATGAAGAAAATGTTTAAATATCCCAAGTGACTACCGTGGCTCAACTATGTGTTTATCAAGCGAAGAGAATACTTTTTGTGCGAAAAAACAAACAAAAATAACAAGTTTATTCGACTATTTCTTTTCTTCCTTGTAGGCCAGAACGAGAATTCCTTAGATTTCCACGACGCATGCGCGAGAATTGCGATCTGCGTACACAGCTTACACTACTTCAGATCGCAATTCTCGCGCATGCGTCGTGGAAATCTATAAGGAAGTCTCGTTCTGGCCTACAAGGAAGAAAAGAAATAGTCGAATAAACTCGTTATTTTTGTTTGTTTTTTCGCACAAAAAGTATTCGCGTCGCTTGATAAACATATAGTTGAGCCACGGTAGTCACTTGGGATATTTAAACATTTTCTTCATTGACTTTCTGGGCCGTCAAGAGGCAGTCCCTTAGGAGCCAATGTGGTAGTTATACAGCTCTCAAATTTAATCAAAAATATCTTCATTTGTGTTCCGAAGACGAACGAAGGTCTTACGGGGTTGGTACAGCATGGGGGTGAGTAATTAATGACTTAATTTTCATTTTTGGGTGAACTAACCCTTTAAGTAGACTTTCTTTTAAAAGTGCACGTTGTAATAATGTCACATTTTGAAAGTACAAATGCTTTAAAGAAGTGCACTTATTTTGATGTGTTGACTAACATACTGAAGCACAAGTACTTGATTATAATTTTAACTGTAGTGTGTAATTCAATAATACATTTAAAGTTAATATATACTGAATTGCAACCTCATTACATAACTATTAATATATTTAAAATAGGGCTGTCAAGCGATTAATCGCGATTAATCGCATCCAAAATAAAAGTTTGTGTTTACATAATATATGTGGGTGCACTGTGTATAAATTAATTAATATATATATATATATATATATATATATACACAGTATATATAAATACACACACACATACTTGTATGAAATATTTTCATGTATATACTGTATAAAGATTTATATATTATATTATATATACTGTAAATATAAATATTTTATATATAAATAATATTTTTTCTTAAATACACATGCATGTGTGTGTATTTATATATATACAAAATAATTATACACAGTGCACCCACATATATTATGTAAACACAAACTTTTATTTTGGATGCGATTAATCGCGATAAATCATTTGACAGCCCTATTTTAAAAAAAATGTTATAAAAGTTCTTATAGAAATGACATGAGTTGACCATAAATGATTGTCAGTACATTCAGCAAAAATAAAAAAAAAGTAAAAATTTAATTATTACACATAAAGATGTGCATAATTCCTACAGTTTGCACTTAAAGGAGTAGTTCACATTTAAAAAAAAAAAACGTTTGCTGATAATTTACTCACCCCCATGTCATCCAAGATCTCCATGTCTTTCTTTCTTCAGTCGAAAAGAAATTAAGGTTTTTGATGAAAACATTCCAGGATTTTCTCCATGTAATGGACTTCAATGGGAACCAGACGGTTCAAGGTCCAAACGACAGTTTCAGTGCAAACTGCAAACTGTTCAAAGGGCTTTAAACGATTCCAGTCGATGATTAAGGGTCTTATCAAGCGAAACGATCACTCATTTAAAAAATGACTCGAAAAGATTTGTTCATTTTGATGAACGAGTTCGAACAGGAGAGTCATGAACGCGTGTCACAGAACAGAGCAAGGCGACCATTTCGGCTTATAAAACTTAAAATTTTTCATTTATTTTTAAATGAGCGATCGTTTCGCTTGATAAGACCCTTATTCATCGTCTGGAATCGTTTAAAGCCCTTTGAACAGTTTGCAGTGAAACTGTCTTTTGGACCTTGAACTGTTTGGTTCCCATTGAAGTCCATTATATGGAGAAAATCCTGGAATGTTTTCATCAAAAACCTTAATTTCTTTTCGACTGAAGAAAGAAAGACATGGACATCTTGGATGACATGGGGGTGAACTACTTCTTTAAGTACATTCTTTTAAAGTACATTATTTTCAGAATAAGTACTAGTTCACTAGTTCTACTGAAGTGTACTTCTTTTACACAAGGGTACGTCGAGCATCTGTGTTGAAGTCTAATGTTTAACGGAGAGGTTTGCATGTTGTCAGGCTCATCGTGGGTTCTAGTGGAGTCTCCGAGTCAGAAAGGAGCCGTTCATGTTGCCGTGGGCGTCGCTGTCGTTTGGGCCGTTACTAAGGACAACAAAGTAAGACGATATTTAACGCTTCGGCTTGACATCAATATCACTGCTATGGGTATCGCACATTAATTTAGTGCTATTAATTTAAAGGATTACTGTAATTTATTATTCTGTAATAATATCAGAGTAATTGTGCAACGTCACTGTCCATTTTCATCTAATAATTGAGTAAAAATAACCCAGATGATAAGTGGCAGAGTAGCATATTACTGAAATGTTTATTCTTGCATAAAGAGTTCAGTGTGTGTGACAGGTCTGGTTCAGGAGGGGTGTGAATTCCCACAATCCCACTGGCTCAGGCTGGATCAGCATTGGTGGAGAGATGGTGATGCTCAGCGTGGGGCCCAATGACCAGGTGAGATGAGTGGAGGATCATATTATACCGTCTAACAATAAACACACACTCACTGTAGAGCAGTTTTCTGCCAGGTGGTCCGTATACTGTAACATGTAAACATGTAAACTGACATCATGAAAGGGGGCCCTTGAATTATGTCTTTGACATTGTGGGGCCTTAAAATCCCCCTTTGGTGAAAATCAAGTGTTTATGTGTCTATGTGGTGTTTTTAATATGCTTTAAGACACACCAAGTCGACAGCATTGCTGAGTATTTCCTCCTTAAAACTGCAGTGAACAAAAGACAGTCTCAAAAACACGGTTTGAAATCGCTGGTGTTTCTGACGATCATCACAAACGACCTTGTAACCAATCAGATCAACGTGTGATCGTCAACCTCTGAGCTGAGTGAGTGCGTGGGCGGGGCTCATTTGAATATTCATAGATCCGTGAATACGAGGCAAAGCAGGGTGTCCGCTGAGTCATAAAAAGTCATAAAACGTCTTAAATTTAATACGAAGCATTTTAGGACAAAAAAAAAAAAAACGTCCGGATTTCCATACAAGGTCCTGCTTAGATTGATAAGCTCATTCATTCATTATCGCGATATATTTTTTTCTCTATAAAACGACATCTATAGTTCGATAAATGTCCGATAGTGTTAAATGCGCCAAAAGAGGAACGAAACTCATTTGAACTGCGCGCCTCACGGACCAAGCCGAAACGGCGAGCGAGCACGAGCTCACTAGAGCAGAGCAGACGCGTTTACTCTGATCGGCCTCGCGCACGAGATCCAGCGAGAAGCGCGTGAATTCAGCGAAGAACACAAATGTCTCATTGATTTAAACCAGTTTAAAGGCAGATGAAACAGTGCTGACAAACACTGGGCACAACTATTCCCATCCTTTACCACGGATTTACTGGAACGTTAGCCTAGTATATTAACTGCACCATGAAATGTGGGATATACATATTGAATTGTATTATATTATTAATGTAGACAATGTATTATAGGGATGATGGGCAACGATTAATCCAGATTAATCGCATCCAAAATAAAAGTTTGTTTTTACATAATATATGTGTGTGTAGTGTGTATCCTAATTAATTTGTATATATAAATACTAACACATGCGTGTATATATTTAAGAAAATGTGTTATTAATATATCAAATATTTATATTTATATATAATATTAATTGTGAATAAATATATACATGCACATATTTCTTAAAAATATACATGCATGTGTGTGTATTTACAGTATATAAATGAATTATAAACACTACACACACATATATTATGTAAACACAAACTTTTATTTTGGATGCGATTAATCGTTGCCCATCCCTAAATTACAGTATTTAATGTATTTCGGCTAGCCTACTGTTTTTCATACATTTCATGAAGATACGTGCCATCAAAGTCAGACAACACAAACCTGTTTCAAGACTTGAGACAATATCCCCATTAGCACATGCAGAAACTAAGAAACGAATTCTCCAATAAAGATATACATTTTGTAAAGGAAAAAAGACAAATGTTTGAATGTTCTATATTTGTGAAATGTTCACCTGTTTTGCAAGTGTTTGTCATGATATGTTCTGACAATAAAGAGTTTAAAACCACAATTAACACTCTGGTTTCTTTCAGTTAGGAGCAAAAATCTGCCTTTAAACTTAAAGAAATAAAGACTTGACATTTATTGTGATAATTATCGATATTGACTGCCTGATATATTATCGTGATAATTAAGTGTTATTGATATGAAAAGGGAGCCTTCAGAAAATGGAACCTTTAATTACTTTTAATGAAAGTCAATTAAAAAAAAAGACTTTTGAAAGGAAGTTATTTTTCGTAATTCATGTAGGTCATAAATTTAAATCATAATGGTCATAAAAAAGTCTTACATTTTTGGACTAAATCCTGCAGAAACCCTGGCAAAGGTGCAGTTACATTCAAGCTATTTAAAGGTGTGACGGCAACAAACATTAAAAAATACAAAATTATGAACGCAACACTTTTGTTTTTGCCCCCATTTTTCATGAGCTGAATTAAAAAGGCCTGTTTCTCTTAATTGTTGTTCACAAATCTGTGTTCCTCCTTTGCTGGGACAATCCATCCCCCTCACACGTGTGGCATATCAAGATACTGATTAGACAGCATGATTATTGCACAATTAAAGGCCACTTTGTTTGGGGGAGGGTCATTAAGTTTCATTAACTTTACTCGAAAAGTGTTCTCCTGTGTGGACAACTCTAAGGGTCCCAGTACTCGCCCTTGGGGGACACCCATCCATCTGCTGTGGGCTGGGAAAGGGGTGGGGCCGACAGGTCTGATTACACTCCTGTTCTCACATGAAGCTTTGAGGATTAACCATCATCAGATCCTCAGACCAATATGTGCACAACTGTATTCACTGTCCATGTTTATACGCACAAACACCCGTCGTCCAATCAGCTCACACTGGCTCCTCCTTCCCACCGGGACGGGAATGTGAGGTCTGGCGGAGTTGGGTGTCCGTGGGTGTTGATTTCTAGAGTCTCAGTGTGGAGTTTGCAAACCTTCTCTCTGTAACTTGACCCTCTGACCGCCTGGCTCAGCCCAGCCATATATATACACCTCCAATTCTTTCACCCGCGCACAGCCATATGGGAACGTCTAATTTGAGTTTGGCCGCACTACGCCTTTTCATACTTCGCATTTTATTACCAACCCGCTTGGAGCGTGTGTTCACTCTCATATTTTGAACCTGTTCCTCGATTTGACTTAATCAGAAACAATATCCTGTCTATGAGAACTATGTCAGCACATAAATAGAGATCGTCTCATAACGTGATGCCAACTTTACTATAATGCAGTTGATTTTATTACATTGCGTATTATTGAGATGGCGATCATATGTTTCTAATAAGCACAATATCCAGACCCGAACGTCCAATGTCAACACTACCGTTCAAAAGTGTGTGAAGTTACTAAAATAGAGGCTTTTAATGTTTATAGGATACATGAGAAATGACTCAAATAGAGTGATGTTGTCCGTCCCACATGTTTGTTATCTCTGCTTGATGAAGATATATGTAAAAGCCCAGAAAAGAGACAGCTGTTGATGTGATGTATACATAATAAAATATCTATTTTATGTGTGTTTTTTCTGTGACGCAGGTTTGGGGTGTTGGCAGCGATGACCGGACCGTGTATTTCCGTCATGGCGTGACGGACACAGAGGTCACCGGAAGGTCATGGGTCGCAGTGTCGGCCCAGCTTGATAGCAGCAAAAGCATAAATCATTCCAGGTATTGGAAAAACACTGTACAGAACAGTGATGGCCGACATGCCCTGTTTAAAACGGATCCAGAGGGGACCTAGAAAACACAACTCATGACTTTAAAGGGGAAACATTAGGCCTATTATGATAATTAATTAATCTCAGCATGTTCGTTTGACCCTATAATGCCAACTGTTTGCTGAAAATATATCCACAAATTAACAACAACACACAGTCTATCGGTCGATTAATTGCATGGGAAAGTTAAGTTAAGTAAAGTTAATCGACAACACCACTGAATTGTTGTGGCCATTGTGTGTCTAAAGGAACATATTTTTGTGTTGGTGTTGATGAAGGGTCACTTGAGCTTCATTGATGGGCTATTGGGCAACACTAGCACAGCAGGATCCTCATGTTTCCCGTCCATCCAGCAGATGGCGCTGTGTGTGTGTGTGTGTGTCAGTATGGCAAGCCGTTTTAGCTTTTATTCATTTCTAGGATATGAATTCTTGATATCAATAATTGAATTCTTGATATAAGAAAATGTAATTGTTGATATCAACAATTTAATTGCTGATATTTGTAATCGTATTTTCATTTCACCATAGGCTGCCATTCAAAATAAATAGTTGATATCAAAATTTTTTTTTTACTACTAATTTCATTTTTGATATCAATAATTACATTGTTACTAGTAAAAATGTGAATTCCTGAAATTATATTGCCCAATAATTCCAATAATTAAATTGTCACTAGTTGAAATTTCTTGATATCAACAATTTAATTGGTACTAGTAAAAATTATAATTTTTGATATCTGAAAATGTATTTCTGATATCAATATTATTTCAGATATCTAAAATAGCTTTCTTACTAGTAACAATCACAATTATGATATCAGAAATTAACATTGTATATGGCAAGCCGTTTTAACTTTTATTCATCTCCAGGATATGAATTCTTGATATCAACAATTACATTTTTTGACATCAACAATTTAATTGCTGATATCAACAATTGTATTTTCAATAGTGAATTCTCACCATAGGCTGCCGTTCAAAATCAATTGTTGATATCAAGAATTTATTTTTTACTAGTAGAAATATCATTTTTGATATCAATAATTGCATTGTTACTAGTAAAAATGTCAATTCCTGATATCAATAATAAAATTGTCACTAGTTAAAATGTATATTCTTGATATCAACAATTCAATTGCCACTAGTATTTTTTTTATATATCTGAAAATCTATTTTTGATATCAATATAATTTCAGATATCTAAAATGGCTTTCTTACTAGTAACAGTTACATTCATGATATCAGAAATTTACATTGTCACTTGTAGAAATTGAATTATTGATTATTGAGTAGCAGTTCAATTGTGGATATCAAGAATAGACATTTCAACTAGTAACAATTGTATTCTTGATATCAAAAATAAAGGTTTTTACTTGTTATAATTGTATTTCTGAAATGTGAATCAAAAAATTGAATGGTTGATATCAAGAATTCATATCCTGGAAATGTATAAAAGTGAAAACGGCTTGCCATAGTGTCAGTGCTCTGAATGGCTCTGTGTCTTTCCCAGTGTCGGTGCGCACGTAGATGCCGGTGTGTTCGATGGTGATGTCACCGCTCCTTCCCAGGGATCCGTTCTGGGCTGTGATGACACGGACATCCCGAAGCCACGTGTTCCCAAGATCACGAGTGACAGCTTTATCTCTGCGCTGGTGTCGGATCGCTCCGCTCCAGCGGTGCCTCTCGATGGAGACCAGGCGACCGGCCCAGAGTCCGGCTCCTCCGCCCTGACCCCGACGCCATGGAGCAATGTAGACCTGGAGGAGATGAAGGCCTTGGTTCCCAGGAGCTCAGTGGCCACGTATCCCATCGAGCTGCAGCACAACACGGTAGAGCAGGAGGACACGCCGCCCTGGGCCTGGGTAACCGGTGGAGGATGTGACATCCATTCCAGATCACATGTCGACTGGTTTAACACCTCAGGTGCAACACAGCTAAAGGGATAGTTCATCATTTACTCACCCTCACGTCATTCCCAACACTTTACTCGAAGCCTCTATGTATGATGCATTGTAGGTATCGATGTTGGCTAATGCATTATATCTTTTCATAAATAAAAATGACCAAAGTTCAAATGCACGTTAATATTTACAGGAAAATTTTAATGCATTATACTTTCTGTGATTCATGGATCATACAATGGATTACAGGGCATAATTAATACTTTTATAATGCGTTTATATAAAGGCTTTAAGTAAAGTGTAACCGGTTTGTCAGAATGTGCAAATTCCTCAATCGACCGAGGCAACTTAAAAGTATCATAAAAGCAGTTTATTCAACACATACATTATATTCAGTTTCCCCATATTCAAGAATGTTGCATCAAAACGTGTGACATTAAAGGGATAGTTCACTTTGAAATTAATTTTTGGTATGTTTTATCTTACCTCAAGGGCATCCAAGATGTAGGTGTCTTTGTTTCCGCAGTATTTTCAATTTTGATATTTTTAGGTCAAACCGTTGATGTCTGTCAGTCATATAATGCAGGTCTATGGTCACCACCTCAAAGAGCATGCACAGAGAAGTCCAAATTAAACATGATTTAATGACTCGTAAATGTAAGTACACACTGATGGCCTAAGACAAGAAACGAGCGGTTTGTGTGAGAAAATGAACAGTATTTATATCGTTTTTACCTCACCACAGCCACAAAGCGCCCGCGCCCACAGATCACTTGGACGTGGCTGTGGTTACACGAGGTAAAAACGATATAAATACTGTTCGTTTTCTCACACAAACCGCTCGTTTCGTGTCTCAGGCCATCAATGTGTTCTTACATTTACGAGTCATTAAATCATGTTTAATTTGGACTTCTCTGTGCATGCTCTTTGAGGTGGTGACCATAGACCTCCATTATATGACTGACAGACATGAACGGTTTGACCTAAAAATATCAAAATTGAAAATACTGCGGAAACAAAGACACCTACATCTTGGATGCCCTTGAGGTAAGATAAAACATACCAAAAATTAATTTCAAAGTGAACTATCCCTTTAATGATGCCATATGGCACAGGTTCTCATGCATCTCATAATAGATCATGTGCCACATTTGAATATATGAACATGAAATAGACATGAGAAATTAGGAATTTGACATTCAGTTTTATATTCATAATATTTTGGGGATAAAAGCCATTGCAGAAATGGTTAGTAATGGCCTTGACTAGTAATAAATCATCACACTGCAAAAGATTCACAATCAATATTGTTGCACATTTCAGATCTGTTTTTAATTCTGAGAGTTGAAATATTGAGCTTACCAGGGACGATGCACATCCCCAATAAAACTTTTTGAAAGAAATTATTTTGTTCACCAGATCTGGTACGCACTGAATCCACATGTATGTGGCCCGGATCTGGGCCGGCACTATGTTGCATTACACGGATCAAAAGTGGCAGTAAAGATTTATAATGTTACAAAAGCTTTCTATTTCAAAGAAATTCATTTTTTTTTTTTTTTGCACTTTCTATTCACCAAAAAAATCACAATAGTTTCCACAGAAATATTGTGCAGCACAACTGCTTTCAACAATGATAATAATCAGAAATGTTTCTTAAGCATCAAATCACCATATCAGAGTGATTTCTGACGGATCATGTGACACTGAAGACTGGAGTAATGATGCTGCAAATGCACTTTGATCACAGGAATAAATTACACTTGAAAATACACCACAATAGAAAACTTTTTTAAAACTAATAATATTTCACAATATTACGGTGTTTTTATCAAATAAATGCATCTTTGTTGAGCATAAGTCTTCCGAAATATTTTGAACTGTAGAGTCTAAACAGGGTGAATGAAGAAGTCACTTCCTTAATGATATATTTTAACTATATATGTGTATGTATATGTATATATATAGAAATTGGCCGGGCCGGGAGGTTTTGGTGATATAAAAGCAAGTCTCAACTGTGTTTGATTCCCTCAGATGCCGGGCCGCTCTCTCCAGCCATCACCCCTGCCCTCGGTGCTCCACACACTGAACCAGGAGCCGCCGCAGAGAAGGTACTGCACTGTGAGCGGCACATGGGAGAAGGCATCAATGGTGGATCTCAAATCATACTCTGTGTGTGTGTTTGTGTGTGTGTCAGTCCGTGCGTGTGACGACAGGGCGCATGTGTTGGTGGAGGGACTGGCCTCCTCATGAGTGGGAGGACGTGAGCGTGACGCTGGAGAAGGTCACCGGTGCCGGAGCTCAGACAGGAGACATACTTTACCTGTACTACACACAACACCTGGAGAAGAAGGTAACACACACCAGGAGCCCAGGGCACATTAGTATTACCAGATCAGGGGTCTCATTTATAAAGCGTGCGTACGCACAAAACGGGGCTGGAAACGTACGTACGCCAGTTTACATGCAAAGTTTGTGATCTATAAAAAACAAACTTGACGGGAGAATATGCGCACCATTAAGCAAACTTTGAGCCGTGCGTACGCACACTCTGGAGACAAAGGGAATGGGAGACACCGATGGTGAGCTATAGTTAAATGTCTTTTTGGTCACTTTTAGACCGAAAATCTAAAGAAAATTATAGCCTATCTAATGGTTACAAAAAGAAAATAGCCTACAAATAAAATTTCACTCACCAAGCCAATCACTTGAAACCAATATCCATCCCGTCTTAAGAGTCCGCGCAGAGAGCACGTTGGGCCGTTTAGTGAAACTGACGCACATAATTTAACGGCAGATGAACAGTAAATCTTCATGAGTAGGCTAATGCAGTGCACGTTCTCAATAACAGTTTAAATAAATGAAATAATGATTTAAACTATGTTTTACTTTTGATATAAACATTTACATTAAATATGCCATTCTCATTAATGGAGTTGAACACTTAAACTACATGAAATCATTGCTAAGAAGTTACAAAAAAAAAATTCAATAAATAGAAATATATATTTGTTGTGGATGCAGTGCTTTTGAACACTTTCCCTCTGGCATGCTGTGTTTTAATGTTTTAACGAGAGATAATTGCTAATCATGATAATAGCAGACACGGCACATCTGTATTTCATATTTTCCTAACGTCTTGTACGTTAACAGGGTATCACGTGGATGAATAATCACATGCAAATGATATGCAGATGAGGATATGCATATTTAAACTAGGCGTTGTAAGCTCCATATATGGTTATTTCGGGGAGGAGACACATGTGTGCGCATTCTTCCACTGACTGAGATTTATAAAGGGATTTCTGCGCAGGTTCTGGTGTACGCACGGTTTTATAAATCTGAATATTTTTTGGCGTACGCCATTTTTGGCTTTCGGGCGCACGTACACTTTTAGTAAGGATCCTACGCACAGTTTTATAAATGAGACCCCTGGCCCTTTGGGGGCCCTAAGCAGAATTTGATTTGATGGCCCCTCCCACCTGTGCTTGACGATTATTGACACAAATATCACGCAATAATGATGCATTATAAATTAATACAGAGAGGTTATGTATAATATATACAAAATAAATACTTAACAAAAAATAGATAGCCTACTTTACTCTTTTAAACTTCGGTAACACTTTACTTGAACGGGTGTGCCATGAAATGACATATGTCTTGAATATGAAGTAGGGTTTATGTATGTTTATGACAACTTTCATTAAGTGTCATTCGCTCAATAATGACATTTTGAATGCAAATATGACTACATTTTTAAATGAAAGAAAACTTTTTGTGGACTCTTTGAATGAATGTCACAGCAAATGAAGATAAAAATGAGTTTGTGTTGTTGAAGATATGAGACTGTAATCTAATCCCACGATTGTCCTGATGTGTGTGTGTCAGTATCTGTGTGCTGTGATGAAGGAGGTGACGGCCCTGGTGCCCGTGTTGAGGGACTCTCTGTACACTATGGCGGTGTACACCGCAGACAGGACCCGGCACAGGACCCCCATCTTACTGGCAACTCCGTCGCAACAGGACTTCAGTACTTGGGTAAAAAGCACATTTGGATAAAAACACACACAGGGTCCAAAATGCATACAATCATACATCTTACCAGCCATGATCCTGTATTTGCATAATCTTCTTTAAATTATCCTATTTTAAAGGTTCATAATTTTGTTGTAGACCTTTTTCATTCACAAACCGCTATATTACACACTGAAAGGTTGCATCCAAAAAAGCATAATAATAATAATAATAATAATTCTATTAAAATTCTAATAAAAATAATAGCTGCACTTTAACAATGAATAAATTCTTCTCATGTATTGCCCAAAATTAATTTATATTTGCAAAAAGAAAATGAGATTTCAAGAGTAACAGCATGTTTGTGTGTGTGATCTTTGCAGCTGTCTCTGTTGAACGAGTCGTGTTGTGAGTCCAGGGGTCTCGGAGACCATCCATCCAAGCAGGCGCTGTGGGCTGTGACATGTAAAGGTGATGTCATGGTGCATGAGCCGTCCCCCAGCCTGGAGGCGCCGGCGCAGTACCTGCCCTGCGATCACATGTAAGAACCTCCCCGTCTGTCCGTCTCTCACTATATCTCCGTCCTAAACCTAGTGAACTGCCTCCCTGTCTGCTGTCTACATCCACAGCACCTTCACACATACTGTAGAGCTCCTCGAGCAACGCACTCACAGTCGGTTTCTACAGTTTGCATTAGCATGTTGCTAAGCTAACAACACAAGCTTGTAGCACACGCACAAATATTGCGCAAAATAGTTCATTTTAAAGTAGATTGAACTATGGTTTTATGATTACATTTACAACTTGTCTATGCCATCTCCATTCAACGCACTGCATTGTGGGATTACATGCAATCCTGTCTTTCAGTTTGGTCTTATAAGCAGTTTTGGGGAAGCTAGCTAAGCTACATTTGTAATTCAATACAAAGTAATTCACTAAACTACAAGTTACTTAGAAAGTAGCTTTTTCATTTTGTTCTTTTCGAGGGCAATACATTTTTATGAAACTAAGATTATATAATTCATAACTTAATCAGAGCTGTATTTCTCTGGTTCTGTGGGGTTTCGAATGAGTACATACAGTATGGATGAGCGTGACAACTATGAACTTGATCTTATACATTTACACTTAAGGACATAGTGATGAACAGAAGCAATTAACTCTATTAAATATAGTACAAATATTCGATTAAAAGACGACATATTGCACAAGGGTTTCTGTGAAGCAGTGCATTGTTTCTAAACGGATATTGACATGAATGTATTCAATGAAACTAATCAGACTACGTATGAAAGAGGAGAATTTAGCATGTTTGACTAAAACTGTGTGCAATACAGTATGACAATAACAACAGCAATATACGTTACATGTGGCGTTTGGTTATTAAACCATTATTTTATTTTTAATTATACTTCAAGTTTTTAAGTAAAGTAAAATCAAGTTGAAGTATACTTTATTTAGTAAGCACACTAATATCAGTGCACTCGTAGTCTACTATTTCAACAATTATTGGGACTAAACTAGCCCACTTTTAGTTTAGAAATGTGTAATTTTAAGCATACTGTACTTGAAGTGCAATAGTTTACATCTAAGTTGTTTTTTTTGCATTGCTACTATAATAGTGAACTTATAGGTATGCTGCTATTTTACTAGCTATAACGAAAATACGTTCCAAGAACGTTAAACTAATAGTCCGATTAATTTATGAAAAAGTAATTTCTGAATGCTCTCTTAACTTTAAAAAATGTCCAGTTTTCATTTAAAAAAAAAAAAAACGTTTTTCTTGGTTATTGAAGAAACGTTAACACTTTACAATACGGGTGCACTAATATGCATCAATTCATGCTTAACTAATGCACAGATAATGTATAACTCATGAAGAACTAAACCATTAATTAATTATTACTGCATCAGCAACTAATAAAGAGTCTATATGATTAATAGATTACGTAATACATGAATTGCTATTAATACTATATAACAAATTGTATTAACTAATAGTGTAAATTAATGTGTTAATTACCAAAATTAGTCAAAGCTATGTACTTCAACTTCCAGTTGTCTGCTTTAATTAATCATTAGCTAATGATTTGCAAAGGCATCATTATGTTATGACTTTACTTGTTAGGGCACATCATTATTAACTAGTCATTTAGTAATTGTAGTAATTTGCACATGAATTTGCACTAACAATGAAGTAATTAATCATGTATTAATGCATATTAGTGTACCTGTCATATTATCTGGAAGTTGAAATACAAGGCTTTGGCTCATTCTGGTAATTAACATATTAATTAACACTTTTAGCTATTATGGAATTAATCCACAATTACATAATAATTAATAACAACTCATTTATGAACTAATACATTAACCTTACAGACTATTAGTTCCTAAAGTGGTAATCATTAATGAATAGCTTAAATAATCATTAGTTACACATTAATTCAGTATTATCTGTGCATTAGTTAAGCATGAATTAATGCTTATTAGTGCACCCGTATTGTAAAGTGTTACCGAAGAAACAACCAGTAAATAGTCAGCTCCTCCCAAACACTGCTTATAAAGCACTGCGTTTTGAAGCGGCCCCTGTATTATACGAGCCTGTCCAGATAGGCAGCTCACTAGGTTTTGAGCTGGAGATTCATACTTTCATAATTTAAGCTTGCATGTCACCCAACTTTTTGATTTGGTTTGGTGTGTGTGAATGTGTGTCTGTCACTGTAATGCGTGTGTGTTGTTGGGCTTGGCATGCTTCATGTGTCTGTCTGCGTACCTGCTGTGGGCTCAGGTTCTGGCGTCAGGTTCCTGCTCATCTGCTGTGTGTGGAGTCTAGCAGTCTGGGTGTGGTGTGGGGCATCGGTCACGATCACACAGCCTGGGTCTACACAGGGGCCGGCAGGGGACCATCGGCTCCGGGTAAACACGCACCCTAACCCTAACCCTGCATGCGGCTAACCCTGTCTCTCTCACTAACCCACATCCAGGTCTGAGGCCCTGCTGGACAGCAACATAGTGTCGGCCCAGATCCGGCCCACGTCTGGGACGTGTGGATTTAATGAGTGCCGGATGTGGGCCGCCACTAAGAATGTCTTGCTGAGGTTTCCATTAAAGGCATAGCTCACTTTGAAATTAATTTTTGGTATGTTTTATCTCACCTCAAGGGCATCCAAGATGTCTTTGTTTCCACATTATTTTCAATTTTGATATTTTTAGGTCAAACCGTTCTTGTCTGACTGTCAGTCATATAATGGAGGTCTATGGTCACCACCTCAAAGAGCATGCACAGAGAAGTCCAAATTAAACATGATTTAATGACTCGTAAATGTAAGAACACATTGATGGCCTAAGACACGAAACGAGCGGTTTGTGTGAGAAAACCAACAGTATTTATATCGTTTTACCTTGTGTTACCACAGACATGTCCAATTGATCTGAGGGCGCGGGCGCTTCGGTCTGCACAAACGCCGGAAGTGATCTCTCGCGCGTGTACGTCACTCGTTGTTTACACAGAGATTTCGGAAGTGTTATCCTTCTCTGTGAAGATCTAAACATATTTATATATACAGGAAATTGCATTGGAAGCCGATTTCGATATATCAGCAGACGACGTTGAATTTTTTTCACAACCGCGCGAGAGATCACTTCCGGCGCTCGTGCAGACCGATGCGCCCATGCCCTCAGATCACTTGGACGTGGCTGTGATTACAAGAGGTGAAAACGATATAAATACTGTTCGTTTTCTCACACAAACCGCTCGTTTCGGGTCTCAGGCCATCAATGTGTACTTACATTTACGAGTCATTAAATCATGTTTAATTTGGACTTCTCTGTGAATGCTCTTTGAGGTGGTGACCATAGACCTCCATTATATGACTGATAGACAAGAACGGTTTGACCTAAAAATATCAAAATTGAAAATACTGCGGAAACAAAGACACCTACATCGTGGATGCCCTTGAGGTAAGATAAAACATACCAAACATTAATTTCAAAGTGAACTATCCCTTTAATGTCACTTAGATAACTTTGCGAAAACATTGTCAGAACGTTAGCCAACACTCAGAGAATGCTCGCTGTTTGCGGGGTGAGGATATGCTGTGTTCTGGATGCTGGTGTGCTGATGTTCCCATGAGGTTTCACCAGAATACTATAATAGTACATAAATAATACGAAAATAGCACTGCTTTCATTAAAGAAATATTGTAACAGTATTTCATTATATACTGTATATATGTATAATTATTATAAAATGTTACATGTTTGTGTTTATATTACCTACATTTTTCGTAAAGTTTGAATAAATTGCGAATTAATTTTTTTATGAAAACACTAGATCATTGGATTCCATGCTAAAATGCACAGTTGGTGTGTGTGAACCAGTGTTTTCTCATTTTCCCAATTGTCCGTTCATGTCAAATAAGACATCCTGTGAAGTCTAGAAGATCATCATGTCAAGTCTTTATTTAAAGGAACAGTTGCGTCTGCCTGATGTTTGAATCTGTGGGCTTTCAGGGAATGAAGTAAGTGATGTGAGGAGTGTGTGCATCTATGAGAACCAGCGCTGGAACCCCATGACGGGATACACAGACAAGTGAGTGTGATGTGACGGGGCTGGCGTGTGTTTGTTTAAAGCAAACGCTCAGTGTGTGTGTGTTCTCCTCCTCAGGGGTCTTCCCACTGACCGCTACATGTGGAGCGACTCGTCGGGTCTGAGAGAGTGCACTAAAGACAACACCAGCCCTCCCTCGCCACAGTGGACATGGGTACGGTCTTTATAGCGCCGTGCACGTGTGTGTCTTTGCAATGTTATTTCAATTAGATGGTTATTGTCTCATCTCGTGCTCACAGGTCTCTGATTGGGCCGTAGACTACAGTGTCCCAGGAGGGACAGATAAAGAGGGCTGGCAGTACGCTGCAGATTTCCCTGTGTATGTTGATTTTTGGACATATTAATGAACACTAGCTAGACGTTTCCATTTCAAAATAATATATTATATGTTTTTTATGTATATACAGGACCTTTCACGGTTATAAGACAATAAAGGATTTTGTGCGGCGCAGAAGGTGGGCTCGGTGAGTTCACTTTTTTGCTGATTTTGAACATTTTGATAAAGGGAGTTACATTAACAGTTTTATATCTGTTTCTTTCTAATGTTGGGCAAAAAATGTAAAGCACAAACTCACAGCAGCCCCTATGGAAGCCACACAAGAAAGAAAATACTGCTTTTGAAGAACATAATTATGACAAAGTCACAATTATGATATACTAAATCATTATGAGAAATTATCACAAAAATCTGAAATTGACATACTGTCATTATGAGATAAAAATGTAAAAATCTGACATAAAAATCCAAAATTCTGACATAAAAATACGAAATTATGACATAAAAATCCGAAATTCTGACATAAAAATCGAAATTGACATATTAAGTCATGAGATAAAAAGTCAAAATTCTGACAGAAAAATCTGAAATTATGACATAAAAATCCTAAATTATGACATAAAAATCCTAAATTATGACATAAAAATCCGAAATTATGACATAAAAATCCAAAATTATAACATAAAAATCGAAATTGACATATTAAGTCATGAGATAAAAAGTCAAAATTCTGACAGAAAAATTTGAAATTATGACATAAAAATCCGAAATTATGACATAAAAATCCTAAATTATGACATAAAAATCGAAATTAAAGTACTGTCATTATGAGATAAAAAGTCAAAATTATGACATAAAAATCCAAAATTATGATATAAAAATCCAAAATTCTGACATAAAAATCCGAAATTATGACATAAAAATCCGAAATTATGACATAAAAATCCAAAATTATAACATAAAAATCGAAATTGACATATTAAGTCATGAGATAAAAAGTCAAAATTCTGACAGAAAAATCTGAAATTCTGACCTACAAATCTGAAATTCTGACATAAAAATCATAAATTCTGACTTAAAAAGCCAAAATTATGATATAAAAATCGAAATTGACATATTAAGTCATTATGAGAAAAAGACAAAAATTATGACATACAAATCCTAAATTATGACATAAAAATTGAAATTGACATTAAGTCATTATGAGATAAAAAGTCAAAATTTTGACATAAAAATCTGAAATTGACTGAAAATTATGAGAAAATGTTTTCTGAATTATGACTTTAAATTTTATATTCTTACAAAAAGTCAAAATTATGACACATAAAAATCCACAATTATGACATAAAAATCCCAAATTATGACATAGTAAGTCATTATGAGATAAAGTCAAAATGATGACAAGAAATTTCAAATTATTACATGCTAGGTCTGAATTATATGACATTAAAAAGCCGAAATTATGATTACAAAAATTCTAAATTCTTACTTCAAACATCAAAATTATGACAACAATTCTAAATTATGAATTAGACATAATTACATAAAAAGTCAATATGATGACACTAAGTCATAATTATGAGATAAAAAGTTGAAATGATGTTAAAAGTATAATCATAACTTTTTAATCTCAAGTAACTTGTCATAATTTCTGCTTTGCAATGCATCTAACTTATGCCATAATTATGCCTTTTTATTGCATAATAATGACTTTCTCATTCTGTTTTGACTTTGAATGTCATAACTTTGAGTTTTTATCTCATAATTATGACTCTTTATGCCATTCTGATTTCCCGGAGCATGATTTGTTTTCTAGTGTGTCAGAGTTGTTTAAAGGAAGGATGTTGTGTCTCACAGGAAGTGTGAGATCAGCCTCAGGGGCCCCTGGCAGAAGGTCCCGCCGATCCCCCTGACGGACGTCACCGTCCTGCCGTGTGTGGCTCAGAGCGGCCTGGAGCAGATTCCAGTGTGGGCCATCAGTGAGAAGGGGGATGTCCTGTGCCGGATGGGGGTCACTGCAGAGAACCCGGCTGTGAGCAACACACACATAACACTTCACCAACATTTCATTTGAAACGGTGACATCAGTAATCACCAAATCCCCAATGGCGCAAGTCCCAGAAAAGTAAAGCCTGGTTGTCTCAGTCAGTTTCAGTGTGCCTTGTAAAATAACACATCACAAATAACTGACAGAATTATTAATAACCCATGTCTTTTCTTGAAGCTGAAAGTCAGTGCAAAATGGTTAATAATAACAGTCTTAACTCTTTCCCCACCGATGGCAGAATTTCCCATCTTTCCGTGTTTTCACTGTTATACTGTAGGGGGCGCTATTGCACATCTTCTGAAAGAGTGCAGAATCTCCTGATCAAAACACAGGCGAAGAAGAAGCAGAAATGAGCGATAGCATATGTAAAATTACGTGATCATTTTGAATCCGATCTTTGACAAAAACACATTTTCTTTTAATATATGAAACTTATCCACATTCAAGTGTCTGGGAATGTGTTACATCAGTGTACAGAGAGTGAATATGGCTCTGTCCATTCTCATGTTGAGCTGTAGTGTCCTCTAACTTCTGACTGTGTCTCAGCACAGGGCGACTCCTGGCTCCACGTCGGGACAGACCAGCCCTTCAAGTCCATCTGTATAGGAGGAGGACACCAGGTGTGGGCCATCGCCAGGGACGGGGCCGTCTTCTACCGGGGCTCCGTGTCTGCACTCAATCCGGCTGGTGAGAAGACGATCCCCATTTCAACCAGGGAATGAAGATTGACACTTTCCACTATCAATAACTCCTTATGAACGTGATACCGTGCATTTAGTGCGCTTCGAAATTAGACTCGTTACATTTTGAGAAGAGTACTTTTTTAAAGTAACACCAGGTAGTTTTTGCTCTCAGGGTCCCCCTACAGTTGGGAAACAGTATTGTCCTCCACTATTGTCGTAAACTCTGTTATCCTACATGCAGCGTCGCGTGTGAAATGTCTTCATCCCACGTACAGTGGCATATATTTCAGCATGTCATATGAATAGAATTTCATGGGGTTTTTTTTAACGACAAATGATCGCGAATCGATGCTCACGTTTACAACCCATGTCATTATAGTAGCCTAGACCGTTTTACTGAATCTATATGATATATATGATGCTTCAATGCAATGTTTTAGTGGTAGATAATGACCATATATTATAATATCAAGCTACCATAAATGAATCTGCAAATTTCACAAATCGATTTGCATTATAGCTTGAAGCAAGAAAAATAAACGAATATCACAGACATGTTAGGTATCCTAAAATATGAGGTTGTACATCTTATATATTTACTTGGAAGAAAGTAGCCCCTACCAAACTTGTACACGCCGTTTAGACGATAGCATAGCCATCAAAAACTAGAATATCGTTTACTAGCTACCAGATTGATTATTCGCTACTCTAATATGATTACTTGATTCTTGAAGATAAGCAGAGTAGTCAGGCAGACAAATAAAAACAAAGAGATAGTATGCAAGCAATATAACGTACTTACTAGTCCAATAGCATGACGGCCAAGTCCACATCGATCGGCTCACGCCAGCGAGAAAACGCTGGCTCAATGTTGATCCTCGTTCTGCCTTTAACGCGATTTCTCTTTTTGCTTTGCTCCGATAAAACCTTTGCTTTCTTTTTTGTCTGTGCTACTTCGGCCATGACTATGACATTTGGCTCGCATGTCCGTTTTTAAGGAAGTGGGTTGGTGGCGGAAGTGACGTATATGCCGTCAAGCAGTCGAATTTTGTAGTTCTCTTTGTTCGCCGGTTACTACCCGAAACCCGACGTTTAAAAGTACGATTAAAAACGCTACAGACCCCGTCAGGATATAGCAGACGTGTCATTCAACCTATTGTAAGTCGATGTACCATCACAAGAGACTTGGAAATATATTATAAAGTTTGAAAAGTTGTGGTTACTAGTAAAAAAAAAATTATTCACTAAAATAAAAATCAATCAAAAATAGTTTTGAAAATGTTGAGAGTGCATGTTGCAAGGTAGCAGGATTGATAGTTTACAGTGAAAATATGAATGTATTATTAGTAGATTTTATGCTGATATTTTAGGCCTATAAAATAAAGAATATCTGACAGTAACAAAAGTTAAAAAAAAAAAAAAAAACTCTAATATTTAAGTATGAAAACCTATTCTAGGAGAAAGCAAAAACAAGACTTTGGGGAAAAAAGGCATAACAAAAGGCATAAAAAAGGTCCCCTTTAATAATGAAAAAAAATAGTAACTGTATTACAGTATTAAGTTACTGTATTCTTGTTATTTTCAGAAAAATGCCAACTTTAACAAAAAGCATGAGGCTGTGCCTTTCATGATTTTAAGTGTAAGTGAAATGCCTCATGCTTTCTGTGGTCATTTCTCAGGCGAGTGCTGGTACCACATCCCGTCCCCGCCGAGGCAGATGCTCAAACAGGTGTCTGTGGGCAGGACCTCCGTCTATGCTGTGGATGAAAACAGTGAGACACTTGTTTCCTCGCACCTCTCTTGTTATTTGGTTGAATGGAGCTGTGTGTGCTCGGAATAACTCAAACTTCATTGTGGGTGTCGATTTAAAGCATGCACGTTTTTCTATTTATGAATGGTTTGGAAAACCTGGATGATCAGCTGCATTTTGTCAAAATGTGAAGTGTGCAAACAGAGCACGGCTCCTTTTCCAACGTGATATAATGAATATCAGCCCCAAACATCAGTCTTAAAGGGATACTCCACTTTTTTTGGAAATAGGCTCCTTTTACAACTCCCCCAGAGTTAAACAGTTGAGTTTTCAAATCCATTCAGCCGATTTTCTAATATTTAGAAGAATATCAGTAACCAGACAGTTTCTGGTCTCATTGACTTCCATAGTAGGAAAAAAATATACTATCGAAGTCAATGAGACCAGAAACTGTCTGGTTACTGATATTCTTCTAAATATCAGAAAATCGGCTGAATGGATTCGAAAACGGTAAAACTCAACTGTTTAACTCTGGAGGAGTTGTAAAATGAGCCTATTTCCAAAAAAAAGTGGAGTATCCCTTTAAAAGAGTAGTTCACTTTTAAAAAAAACATTTGCTGATAATTTACTCACCCCCATGTCATCCAAGATGTCCATGTCTTTCTTTCTTCAGTCGAAGAGAAATTAAGGTTTTTGATGAAAACATTCCAGGATTTTTCTCCATATAATGGACTTCAATGGGAACCAAACGGTTCAAGGTCCAAAAGACAGTTTCAGTGCAAACTGTTCAAAGGGCTTTAAATGATTCCAGACGATGAGTAAGGGTCTTATCAAGCGAAACGATCGCTCATTTAAAAAAAAAATAAAGTTTAAGTTTTATAACTTAACAAATGCTCGCCTTGCTCTGTTCTTTGATGAGCGTTCGTGACTCTCCTGTTCAAACTCGATCATCAAAATGAACAAATCTTTTTTCGAGTCAATTTGTTCATTGAATGAACCATTCAGTTCCCAGTAAAGTCCATTATATGGAGAAAAGTGCTGGAATGTTTTCATCAAAAACCTTAATTTCTTTTCGACTGAAGAAAGAAAGACATGGACATCTTGGATGACATGGGGGTGAGTAAATTATCAGCAAAAGGTTTTTTTTAAAAAAGTGAACTACTCCTTTAACTTCCTCGATTTGATTTCTCTACCAAAGGACATTTTTACACAAATTAGGATTACGAGTAATTTGTTTTCCAAGGAACCGGAAGACACTCACTGAATTAAAAATGCAACCTGATGACGTCAATGCAGCACTGTTATGTGAAATGTGTATCGTTGCATACAGATCATCAGCTCAGTCTGTTTGTGCAGGTAATCTGTGGTACAGACAGGGTTTGACACCCAGCTATCCTCAGGGTTCTGCATGGGAACTCATCTCCAGTAACGTGTGCAAGGTGTCTGTGGGACCACTGGACCAGGTTTGTGCCCTTTACTTATGAGTTTTGATGTGTTGACTAACATACTAAAGCACACACGTAGTGTGGGGGTTTGGGGGGGGCGCTATTACACATCCTCTAAGAGTATCTCCATATCAAAACACCAAGCAGAAACTAGTATTAAAAAAAGTCTGTAAAAAAAGTGCACTCAGGTCTAAGTCTCATGGCCCTCTATCAGAATCCAGAGTTTTGAGAAGATTGGAGAAACGTAATTTTTCACCCAAAAAAAAAAAACGAAAGGGGTACCACTGTCGTTTTTTTCTTCGGGTCGAATTTTTGATTTTCGATATCTCAGCTCTGGAAGGGTCTAGAGCCTCCATTTTTGCACTCAGGTCTAAGTCTCATGGCCCTCTATCAGAATCCAGAGTTTTGAGAAGATTGGAGAAACTTAATTTTTCACCCAAAAAAAAAAAACGTAAAGGGGTACCACTGTCGTTTTTTTTTCGGGCCGAATTTTTGAGTTTCGATATCTCAGCTCTGGAAGGGGCTAGAGCCTCCATTTTTGCACTCAGGTCTAAGTCTCATGGCCCTCTATCAGAATTTGGGAAGATTGGAGAAACTTAATTTTTCGCCCAAAAAAAAAAACGTAAGGGGTACCACTGTCGTTTTTTTTTCGGGCCGAATTTTTGAGTTTCGATATCTCAGCTCTGGAAGGGGCTAGAGCCTCCATTTTTGCACTCAGGTCTAAGTCTCATGGCCCTCTATCAGAATTTGGGAAGATTGGAGAAACTTAATTTTTCGCCCAAAAAAAAAAACGTAAGGGGTACCACTGTCGTTTTTTTTTCGGGCCGAATTTTTGAGTTTCGATATCTCAGCTCTGGAAGGGGCTAGAGCCTCCATTTTTGCACTCAGGTCTAAGTCTCATGGCCCTCTATCAGAATTTGGGAAGATTGGAGAAACTTAATTTTTCGCCCAAAAAAAAAACGTAAGGGGTACCACTGTCGTTTTTTTTTTCGGGCCGAATTTTTGAGTTTCGATATCTCAGCTCTGGAAGGGGCTAGAGCCTCCATTTTTGCACTCAGGTCTAAGTCTCATGGCCCTCTATCAGAATTTGGGAAGATTGGAGAAACTTAATTTTTCGCCCAAAAAAAAAAACGTAAGGGGTACCACTGTCGTTTTTTTTTCGGGCCGAATTTTTGAGTTTCGATATCTCAGCTCTGGAAGGGGCTAGAGCCTCCATTTTTGCACTCAGGTCTAAGTCTCATGGCCCTCTATCAGAATTTGGGAAGATTGGAGAAACTTAATTTTTCGCCCAAAAAAAAAAACGTAAGGGGTACCACTGTCGTTTTTTTTTCGGGCCGAATTTTTGAGTTTCGATATCTCAGCTCTGGAAGGGGCTAGAGCCTCCATTTTTGCACTCAGGTCTAAGTCTCATGGCCCTCTATCAGAATTTGGGAAGATTGGAGAAACTTAATTTTTCGCCCAAAAAAAAAAACGTAAGGGGTACCACTGTCGTTTTTTTTTCGGGCCGAATTTTTGAGTTTCGATATCTCAGCTCTGGAAGGGGCTAGAGCCTCCATTTTTGCACTCAGGTCTAAGTCTCATGGCCCTCTATCAGAATTTGGGAAGATTGGAGAAACTTAATTTTTCGCCCAAAAAAAAAACGTAAGGGGTACCACTGTCGTTTTTTTTTTCGGGCCGAATTTTTGAGTTTCGATATCTCAGCTCTGGAAGGGGCTAGAGCCTCCATTTTTGCACTCAGGTCTAAGTCTCATGGCCCTCTATCAGAATTTGGGAAGATTGGAGAAACTTAATTTTTCGCCCAAAAAAAAAAACGTAAGGGGTACCACTGTCGTTTTTTTTTTCGGGCCGAATTTTTGAGTTTCGATATCTCAGCTCTGGAAGGGGCTAGAGCCTCCATTTTTGCACTCAGGTCTAAGTCTCATGGCCCTCTATCAGAATTTGGGAAGATTGGAGAAACTTAATTTTTCGCCCAAAAAAAAAAACGTAAGGGGTACCACTGTCGTTTTTTTTTTCGGGCCGAATTTTTGAGTTTCGATATCTCAGCTCTGGAAGGGGCTAGAGCCTCCATTTTTGCACTCAGGTCTAAGTCTCATGGCCCTCTATCAGAATTTGGGAAGATTGGAGAAACTTAATTTTTCGCCCAAAAAAAAAACGTAAGGGGTACCACTGTCGTTTTTTTTTCGGGCCGAATTTTTGAGTTTCGATATCTCAGCTCTGGAAGGGGCTAGAGCCTCCATTTTTGCACTCAGGTCTAAGTCTCATGGCCCTCTATCAGAATTTGGGAAGATTGGAGAAACTTAATTTTTCGCCCAAAAAAAAAAACGTAAGGGGTACCACTGTCGTTTTTTTTTCGGGCCGAATTTTTGAGTTTCGATATCTCAGCTCTGGAAGGGGCTAGAGCCTCCATTTTTGCACTCAGGTCTAAGTCTCATGGCCCTCTATCAGAATTTGGGAAGATTGGAGAAACTTAATTTTTCGCCCAAAAAAAAAACGTAAGGGGTACCACTGTCGTTTTTTTTTCGGGCCGAATTTTTGAGTTTCGATATCTCAGCTCTGGAAGGGGCTAGAGCCTCCATTTTTGCACTCAGGTCTAAGTCTCATGGCCCTCTATCAGAATTTGGGAAGATTGGAGAAACTTAATTTTTCGCCCAAAAAAAAAACGTAAGGGGTACCACTGTCGTTTTTTTTTCGGGCCGAATTTTTGAGTTTCGATATCTCAGCTCTGGAAGGGGCTAGAGCCTCCATTTTTGCACTCAGGTCTAAGTCTCATGGCCCTCTATCAGAATTTGGGAAGATTGGAGAAACTTAATTTTTCGCCCAAAAAAAAAAACGTAAGGGGTACCACTGTCGTTTTTTTTTCGGGCCGAATTTTTGAGTTTCGATATCTCAGCTCTGGAAGGGGCTAGAGCCTCCATTTTTGCACTCAGGTCTAAGTCTCATGGCCCTCTATCAGAATTTGGGAAGATTGGAGAAACTTAATTTTTCGCCCAAAAAAAAAACGTAAGGGGTACCACTGTCGTTTTTTTTTCGGGCCGAATTTTTGAGTTTCGATATCTCAGCTCTGGAAGGGGCTAGAGCCTCCATTTTTGCACTCAGGTCTAAGTCTCATGGCCCTCTATCAGAATTTGGGAAGATTGGAGAAACTTAATTTTTCGCCCAAAAAAAAAACGTAAGGGGTACCACTGTCGTTTTTTTTTTCGGGCCGAATTTTTGAGTTTCGATATCTCAGCTCTGGAAGGGGCTAGAGCCTCCATTTTTGCACTCAGGTCTAAGTCTCATGGCCCTCTATCAGAATTTGGGAAGATTGGAGAAACTTAATTTTTCGCCCAAAAAAAAAAACGTAAGGGGTACCACTGTCGTTTTTTTTTCGGGCCGAATTTTTGAGTTTCGATATCTCAGCTCTGGAAGGGGCTAGAGCCTCCATTTTTGCACTCAGGTCTAAGTCTCATGGCCCTCTATCAGAATTTGGGAAGATTGGAGAAACTTAATTTTTCGCCCAAAAAAAAAACGTAAGGGGTACCACTGTCGTTTTTTTTTTCGGGCCGAATTTTTGAGTTTCGATATCTCAGCTCTGGAAGGGGCTAGAGCCTCCATTTTTGCACTCAGGTCTAAGTCTCATGGCCCTCTATCAGAATTTGGGAAGATTGGAGAAACTTAATTTTTCGCCCAAAAAAAAAAACGTAAGGGGTACCACTGTCGTTTTTTTTTCGGGCCGAATTTTTGAGTTTCGATATCTCAGCTCTGGAAGGGGCTAGAGCCTCCATTTTTGCACTCAGGTCTAAGTCTCATGGCCCTCTATCAGAATTTGGGAAGATTGGAGAAACTTAATTTTTCGCCCAAAAAAAAAACGTAAGGGGTACCACTGTCGTTTTTTTTTTCGGGCCGAATTTTTGAGTTTCGATATCTCAGCTCTGGAAGGGGCTAGAGCCTCCATTTTTGCACTCAGGTCTAAGTCTCATGGCCCTCTATCAGAATTTGGGAAGATTGGAGAAACTTAATTTTTCGCCCAAAAAAAAAACGTAAGGGGTACCACTGTCGTTTTTTTTTTCGGGCCGAATTTTTGAGTTTCGATATCTCAGCTCTGGAAGGGGCTAGAGCCTCCATTTTTGCACTCAGGTCTAAGTCTCATGGCCCTCTATCAGAATTTGGGAAGATTGGAGAAACTTAATTTTTCGCCCAAAAAAAAAAACGTAAGGGGTACCACTGTCGTTTTTTTTTCGGGCCGAATTTTTGAGTTTCGATATCTCAGCTCTGGAAGGGGCTAGAGCCTCCATTTTTGCACTCAGGTCTAAGTCTCATGGCCCTCTATCAGAATTTGGGAAGATTGGAGAAACTTAATTTTTCGCCCAAAAAAAAAAAAGGGGTACCACTGTCGTTTTTTTTTCGGGCCGAATTTTTGAGTTTCGATATCTCAGCTCTGGAAGGGGCTAGAGCCTCCATTTTTGCACTCAGGTCTAAGTCTCATGGCCCTCTATCAGAATTTGGGAAGATTGGAGAAACTTAATTTTTCGCCCAAAAAAAAAAACGTAAGGGGTACCACTGTCGTTTTTTTTTCGGGCCGAATTTTTGAGTTTCGATATCTCAGCTCTGGAAGGGGCTAGAGCCTCCATTTTTGCACTCAGGTCTAAGTCTCATGGCCCTCTATCAGAATTTGGGAAGATTGGAGAAACTTAATTTTTCGCCCAAAAAAAAAACGTAAGGGGTACCACTGTCGTTTTTTTTTCGGGCCGAATTTTTGAGTTTCGATATCTCAGCTCTGGAAGGGGCTAGAGCCTCCATTTTTGCACTCAGGTCTAAGTCTCATGGCCCTCTATCAGAATTTGGGAAGATTGGAGAAACTTAATTTTTCGCCCAAAAAAAAAAACGTAAGGGGTACCACTGTCGTTTTTTTTTTCGGGCCGAATTTTTGAGTTTCGATATCTCAGCTCTGGAAGGGGCTAGAGCCTCCATTTTTGCACTCAGGTCTAAGTCTCATGGCCCTCTATCAGAATTTGGGAAGATTGGAGAAACTTAATTTT